GTGGCTTAACTATACGTAATGTTTCATCTTTATTACAGGCTTTTTTTGATAAACCGAAGGAAAAAAGTACACCAAGACCAATTTAAAACCAATAAATCAAATGCTATAATTCATAACGGTTTCAAATCAATGTGTAACGACCACTATGAGGTAAAGTGAAAGAATGTTTGTAGCAAAATATAATCAAATAATAACCACTTTATAACATTTTTGCCACTGCATTTGTCAGTAAAGTTAGTCTGCTGTTATTTGATTATGATTTATTAGCAATAAAGGTGATCATCCTTGATTAATATGTTTATCTAAGTTGTAAATTATTCGTGGCTTTAAGCCGTTTCAAGGCCCATTTTTATACGACTTTATACGGTAAAAAACGCCTGTTTGACAGTGTTACCGTATCTTATAATTCGGAACGCCTCGCCGATTATCCAAAGAATGTCGGAAAAATACAAAAAGTTGCGACTGCTGTCAAGTCAATTAATCATTCGGAACATCTCTTGCCGATTATTCATAATGGACAGAGGACTAAATATTAGCAATTTTTAGTTCCGTGTGGCTGTTAAACACATTTCCAAATATTTCTTAATTCTATACACATGTGGAAAACTTACTCAAGGAATATGACATACATTAAAAGAAAGTAAACATTTGCTTTCATTGCTTCATATAGTGCAATCTGAGAAACAACTTACATTACCCACCAAAATTCAAAATGAATATGCCCAATCCTCATGGTGATACCAATTTTGATTATGTCCCCGTCCTCTTAATTATCTTTATCTGAATGTTGGCCGTAAGTTTGCATTTGCTATCCTTGAATTACACTTCCGTAATCCTCCAGAGATTTCTGGACTAACAGTGTCTTAATGTTGTAATCAGAGGGAGTAATGCAAGTCGATGGTGGTGGTAGTGGTGGTGTTGGATCGGATCATGGCAGTAAGCCACATTGAATTTACCAGCTTATAAATCAGCCATCGCATCGTTCTGGGCAGGCTGTCAAGCACTTTACAACAACTAGTTCCCTTTACTAACAGATGACCGCAGAAGGATTTCATGACCAATACCTTCATCATCCGGGACGCCCAAATCTCAGTCCAACGCTCTACCTATCGAGCTAACCGGGCGATTACAGGATGGTTTAGTTTAACAATTATTAATAAAATGTATACTTCTATTACTTTGTGCTTGGTGACGTTCAAACGTGTTGCCTGTTTGATTTAGTGGAAAGATAAAACGATAAACTGATTATTACTAACTGCGCTTGTAATCAAATGAGCCGCGTCACGACAAAACGAACTAAATGCGTTTGCGACCAGAATGGATCCATACCAGCCTTCGCATCCTGATCCGCGCAGTCTGATCAGGATCCATGCTGTTCGCTTACAAACCCTATAACAAGTAGAGAAACTGGTAGCGAACAGCATGGATCCTGACCAGACTGCGCGGATGCGCAGGCTGGTCTATATCCATGCTGGTCGCAAACCCATTTAGTTGGATTTGTCATGGCGTGGCTCAAATGTTATTGATAAATCGGTGACCGTTACACAACTTTCATGTGCATGTTTGTTTGCACACGTTCTTCACAACAAGTGACCACAGGTTAAAAATTACATAAAATTATGTATACTGATTCCGTCATATCTGAAGGGTATTGAAATTCTTTCTAATCCCAGAGTCTCAAAATAGGGGATTTTATTACAGATAATATTAAGCTCCATGTCAAAATTAACACTTAATGGATCGCGCATCGCAGAACAGGATTTATTCTAAAAAGAAAACTATTCGTACCTTTCGCCGATGATTCGTAATCGATTTTTTGTTCACGTTTGTTTAAAGGAAACGATCGGAAAGTTGTTTGCATATTTACAACCGAGGTTCATTTTAATCATGGTAAAAACTGGATGCAATAAGCGAACGTTTAAAGATCGCATTGTTATTCATAAGATAACATAAATATAAGATGAGCGTAAATGAATGAGAATTTGCATGATCTGTCTCGTCGTATTAATACAGATAATATTCGCTGTAATAAATTCAGATAGCAAGACAACACACAAGTTTACAGAAAAATTGCAAATATATATCATCAATAAATTATTTAGATGAAAAAGATTGAAATAAAAAATTAGCAGGGAATATTGACGAGTTGGTGACAGACGCCACTTTTTATATACGAAAATTGGAAACGCTGTCTGTTCGAATCGCACTTTGGCTGGACGTTAAAAACTGAAAAGTGACTTAAGCTATACAACTAAATGATGAAAGACCGGTGATTGTATTCGGACTATTCCTCTGTTAGCTCTTGCAAAAGTTTTAGCATAAACATTACACTATCAAAGTTGCTAAAAAAAAGCATGCCACAAAAAAAACAGCATCGAGTACTACCAAGTAAACAAAAGTGATTAACGGAATGCTGTTAAATTCCGAAGTTAAATAAAGTAAAAATTGACCCTCATCATATATAAGTGACCATCTTTCTAACTTTAACTAAACCACGCTGATAACAACGTTATTTTCCTTTAAGTAATCGATTTTGCAAAGCTAATTTAAAAATCTTAAATCAATTTATCAATTTCACATTTTAATTGAGTGATAAGACGGTTCAGGAAGTATCGTAAATTAATTATACCAGGGTTGATAAAAAGAATCGATTGACATATTTCTATGAAGGTTATTTTATATGACCTATAAATTAGCCGGATTTTATACATGTCTGATATTCTACCTTTAGTCACTACTGGACGCACCCTAACTACTGGTGGATTCAATTACAATACTATTTTAGACAATGGGAAAGACAATATGTGAAAAAAGGTGGAAAATATGTATAACCTATCAATAACATGTACTTTTGTTTTTCCCAATATAGGTGGGGTACGGCAAGCAGCCATGCGTAATATGCACACAGAGCATACATTCTGCTTCTAAAATTAAATATGCATATATAATTGACCAGAGTATATTCGTTCCTAATCTGACTCAGACAACTTAAAACATAACATATAAATACATTCTAGTCATAATTGTAGAAATAGGAAGATTTAAAACTATAATATAACCTTATTCAGTGAAAGCTGGGGCCATGGTAAAAGGAAGTTTGAAAAGTTAATGTTAAGAGCACCTTTTAAGATAATAGGTAATTTTAAACTTTATTTGTTTTTATTCAATTGCGGTTTGTATATTCTAATATATAGGAAACGGATAAATGTGACTCCCCGCTACTCAAATGATCGCGTGACGGCCTTTTATTGAAATACCGATCTAGAATAAATCAATTAAATCTACTTTTGCTATTAAATAACTATAACATCGGTAATAATATCCCTCTATATTTTATTCGTTTCAGATCTAGCAGCTTTAATCTAATTTTATCACGGTGCTTCTTCTATTGAAGACAAGAGCACGTTTTTTTAAAGATGGTTAAACAGGCGTAAGACATCTTAATTCATACAAACTATTTGACAAACGATAACTTAACCCTTTGAAAAGCTTCTTTGATCCGTGGTAGCAAAGTTTTATCAATTTTGTCAAATAGATATAAATCAATAAAACCGAAAGAGTCTTATCTTAAACCCTCAAGTGGCATGTTATTCAAAAACAAACTTAAGAAAATATATACCTGGTACCTTTTAAAGCCCATTTTTATATAAAAAGACAACGTTTACGGGTCGTTACGGAAAAAAGATAAAGGAAATTTGATTTCTATTAAAGATTCACCACCAATTATATTAGCGCAACAATGTTCTTTTATTTTTTTACCGGTTCAAGTCGTCTGCTAATATTCACTTTTAAAAGAGAATTTTTAAACAGACAAAGGAAATAGTACACTTTAAACCATTGATCCCCATAAAGTCGTCCTCGGCTTGACAGTTAGATAAGATTTCGCATTTTTTCATAGTATCCCGTTTCTTGGCTTTGAATGTTTGCTATGAACTTCAGTATTTGGTCTATATTGACGTGTTGGTATTTTATATAAGATATTTATACATAAAAATGACAATAAGTGAAGTGATTACAGAGATTCTGAATTGTTCAATAAAATTATACAGTCTCTTCTGAAATAATCTATCAATGCTATTTGCATGGAAGATATATGTTCTTGATTTGTTTATTGTTTGTTTACAAATCCCGACATTTTTTATTATTTATTCTAGACAGTTCCTTCTTCAAGTCAAGTTGAAATATGTTATTGGACATTGTGTCTTCTTTAAGAACGGTCAAGTGTATTAATCGAATTTTCTTGGTCTGCTTTAATAGCGGTTAATATCAACTAATAATATCCCTGACTTCTAAATGATTCAATGATAAATCATTTCTATATCCTAACGAGAAATTGTTTAAGTCAAACATTCGTTTAATAACGTTAACATTATTATTAATTTATAGTAGCCTATGATTATTAATTTGAATATCAGATAATATCTGTCAATAATTGTTACTATTTTGTCAATTTATAGCAATTATATTTTTAAACATTCACTCTGTCAAGAGTACACTGTTCAAAATGGTTTTGAAGACTTAATGCAATACAAAATGTGAGGCAAATCTATATAATAGACGCTTCTTTATGTTAATATGTTCATGGGTTGAAAAATTATCCGACATTATTTCCGAATGACTTAAATAAATGTTTCTGCATAGAAAGTCACTTTTTGTCTATTTTTGTAACAAAAAGCCAGGGTCATTTCAATGGTTAATATCTGTCTCACTTCACCTTCATACTTTTATAGATGCTAAAATCATGTAACGTTCGGAATCGTTATGGGTGAAATACAATACAGTTGTATCTGTGTATAAGACCACATCCGAACACAACTGGTAAAAGAAGACATTCCCTATGATCTTTTTTAAACTTAAAACAATTACATGTGTTACAAAAATTACATAAATCACGGTGCTATATATAACATCGGTTATGAATGTCTCTTCACCATGTCCAATTTAAAAATGCTATTTTTTTACAGAAAAGTTTGACTTTAAGATGAAAGAAAACGTCTTTGTAACCTTTTCGTGGTTTAATTGTTCCTCATTTTTGTTATATTCATTAACAATTTATGGTATATCTAATGACATTAACACCATAGGTACTTTACATGACATAAAACAATAATAGATAAATCCGTCAATTACTCACGATAGTCCCTGCCAAAAGTTCAGCTTATTTGCAACAATAGCTTTATGACATACTAAACACTGAATTTAAATTATTCAGAATAGTTCTGTCTCAGCGACAGAATTTCTGAACGCCAAGTTAGATATTCAGGCTATTTAAATATATTTTTTTATTTATCGCCTGGTGAATATTTTAGGTACCGTTAATGGGTAAATAGAAAGTTTGAGACGAAAACTCCACTTATAAAAAAGTTAAATGATTTTGTAAAAAGTAGGAATAAATATATATCCATCGGTCCATGAAATAATAACGCATACTTTTTGTTTTATAACTATACATAAAAAATTATCACATTCGACATCGTATATCAAGCTATAAAATAGTTTCTGATTTAATTTTGTAGTATACAATGAGCCGCGTCATGACAAAACCAAAATAATGGGTTTGCGACCAGTATGGATCCAGACCAGCCTGCGCATCCGCGCAGTCTGATCAGGATCCATGCTGTTCGCTTACAAACCCTATAACAAGTAGAGACACTGATAGCGAACAGCATGGATCCTGATCAGACTGCGCGGATGCGCAGGCTGGTCTGGGTCCATGCGGGTCGCAAACGCATTATGTTGGTTTTGTCGTGACGCGGCTCATATTATTATAATTATGTAATTGAATCATTCATCCAGAAATGCGCGGCAATTCTCGCCATAAACAAATGCAGACGGTTTAATGCTGAATTTCTTAACACATGGTAAATCCGAAAAACAATTTCAAAATAAACACAAACATGAAACATTATCATACACAAGTTTCACGTGCTGCTAGAGTTAGCCCCCTTTCCTTCTTTTTCGCCGCAAGAGACGCCTCCAAGGACGGCAATTTCATTAATGCTGCTAGAGGTTGACGCCCACCCATAACAACATTATTTTGACCACGTCGAGGAAGTGTCAAATCACTAGGGAGATCACGCGCTTGTACTGACGATTTTAATCGACTAGTTGGGTCATAACCACGGAATCCTCCTTCGTGAACATGCGATGCCTGTGTAACGCCACCTTTGGACGTCACAAAAGTCTGTGGACCCTGTGTAGGGTTGAGGTTCAAGTCAATGTTTTTGCTTTGAGAATTTATAATTATTTTCTCAGAATGAGGTCGATTTTCTGCTTGCTTTTTCATCAAGTTTTTCTCAGTCTTTTGTCTAGCGAGTATCACTGACTCAGATGTAGGTCTTACTTGAGACATGTGGGACTGCGTAGGAGCCATATATCGTCTATGCAGACGACGTGTGCGTGTGCTAGGTCGTATATCTGGGCGTTCTATGGGACGTGACGTAACCGGTTCCGGATTCTTTGGTCTGGCATACGCTAAATTAGAATTATTCCGTTTCAAAGGAATCTGAGAAGTTGGAGAAATATTATCCGGACGCTCCGCCCTCAATGTCCCATTGCTTGTCATAGTGTCAGTACGTATAAGATGTGACTCGTACGGAACTGCCGGTGTTTGATAGCTTCCATTGTTATGGTTTTGTTCCGGTCTTGAATAAGATTTGTTGGGACGTTTTTGTACATGCTGAACATTTGTTTGAATAGGCGAATTTCGCGGAACCTGACTGTTTGTAAAATTAGACAAATAAGAGCCGCGTGTGTTTGTTACATTTGAATTTGGTGCAATCGTCTGTACCTCGGTAAAGTCATCACCTGTGTCCATTAAACTGGCACTGTCAACATTAACATTTTCAACAGTCTGTTGTTGCGTAACAAAATTAGAATCACAGAATGCTTTGGTCCTCTTACTTTCACGTTTTGGCTGCCTTACGCTTGAAAACCTATCATACATATTATTAGCACCTCCTCGTACAGACTCGTCACGTGACGGAGGAACATTTTCAGGTTCAGTAGCAACCACATCTGCCTCCATCATCACAATTTTGCGTTCCGTTTTAGGTACGGACGAGCGTCCTAGCCTACTTTTCGGTCTTGCAGACTTTGACGGCCTCTGAGGCGGAGGTTCGACAACATCCGGTTCAACTTGAACGTGATCAGGTTCCTCTCTTTTTTTAAACTGATGTCTCCGTACATAACTTGATTTTGGTCTTATATTTAAATCCCTTGTATCGAAATTAACGGGCACACTTTCATTGTTTACTTCATCGTTCATGTCGGCATGAAAACCGAAAGAAGTTCGTGCCCTGTGTCTCCTAAATCCTCGCATATCTCGTGATTCAACAGCTTCTGTTTTATATTCCTGCATATTTTTTGAAATTGCTTGTTTGTTTTGTCGTGAATTACTTACTTCCGTTTCTGGAATATTTACTGTGTTTAAAGTATCCCCTGAATCAGAACTAGAGTCAGTTAATGTATCACTGTCACATAGAACCCTTTCTTCCTTTATTTGATCGTATTCTCTAAGCAGTTCAGTGTCGTCTGCCACGGAATCTGTTGAATTATCCGTTACCTTATCCTGATCTTGTAACAATCGGAGTATTTGGTCCGCCTTCGATTGTTTAAAATTCTGATTGATTTGTGACAGCAGATTTGTTACATCATGGCCTGAAGTCAACTCGCTATGACTGACTGCATGGTGCCGTTCCAGTCCTAATTCCGCCATAATTATCCGACCTTGCTTTGTGAGACCTGTAATAGATTCGAATTGGCATTCCTTAATTTTCTTTATTGTATATTCTTCACATGTAAATTTTAAATCATTGATACTTCTCTCCTACAATGCAATAAAGAATTTTAAAGCTATTCTTAAAATCATGTAACACGATCGCATGCTATTCGGGCATAACTTCGTTGTCAAGTAATTGGTCTGTATTTTACTTACCGTATAAAGGATCGTAATTCACTTCTGTTGGAAAGTGACCAAAAACATTTACAAAAACTGATATATCCGAAAAACAAATTTCCCTCTTAAATGTCCTTGTTTCTTATTTTAAAGCAAAACGAGTTGTTAAAAAATGATTAGGTTTTCCCATTAGTTTAAGTGGTAAAGTTTCACGTCAGTATTCTGTATGTCGATAATACGAGTTTATTGAACACTGATCGTCTAACAAAGACCGGATCATCTGATCAAAATCTACCACAATAGAAATAATTACCAGTAGTGCAAAAACTATTTGTTTAAAACACGAAGTCATTTGAATGTACCGTGGAAAATCTTAATCTCACGACAAATTACGAGCCACTCTATATAAGTGGTCTAGTTATATATATGTACACTCTGGTTGAGGATTCAAGAGGCGTTTCATTGCTTAACGCAAAAAATAAACTGAAAAAAAAAATATTTTAAGCATGCTGAATCTTTTCAAAACCATATTTACCCCATTGTAAAAATCCAAGCTGTTCGAATTTAATATCCGGTGAGCTATCTCGAATCACTTTAAGATATGAAAATCCACAGATTTTACCCTTTAACTTTAACCATGAGCTACTTACCTGGATAAATAAAGTTTCAGCTCATTTCCTCTCTAACAAGAGTGGTCAGTTATTTCCAAATAAGTTTTGCTATCTGCGGGAATAAATACTTGTGTCAATACGGGCTGTTCAGACCTCGTTCAACGTATCAGTTCGTAGTCAAGGTGCTATTTGAAAAGCCAACGTGTAACGAATTCCTTTATTGACACTGGGTAAATAATAAAGACAAAGGGCACGGACACTCGAATCGCGGCCCAAAACAATCGATCCGGTCTAATTTAAGTAATCAATAGTTCCGCTTATAAACACCGATAATAATGATAAAGCTTATATATATATTTATATATTTTATCTCATAAAGATCCTGATATGGTTAGTTTGTATTTTCGTATATTATTTCCAGCCATCTAATAATTAAAGTTTATATTGTCACACCGTGCAATACGTGAATTAATAACAAACAGTTCACATTTTCCCAAATTACTATGGTTAAATGATTGATGAAATGTGTTTTATTCGAAACCACGACACCGTTCAACAGTCCTGACAAGAAAACATTAAAATATTTGATGGACGCACAGAGATACCTGGGTCGCGGATTGATTATATTCTATTTATATCAACCCAAATCGATATCCTATCTCGCAGTATAGCGATGCTAATATATCACCAACGACTGGTCAATACTACACTTTCTCGGAGAAAGTTTCTCGCTATTAAAGGGCAATAGTTAAAAAAAATATTCAAACTTGTCACGTAAGAAAATAATTCCTGCGCAAAACACCGGATTCATTGCATTTTAATCTCTTTAGTGCATAGGACGAAAGATTGAAATAAATTTTCCCATTTTGCTTCTTTGGACAGATAAAGGCCCAGTATTGAACCCGCGACCTCACATGACCGAAGCTCTGGCAATGACAATTTCTAATTATAAGGACATGTGTTTCGATTGATTTCGTAACACCATGCATACTTTACCAAATGTAAATACAAATGTATTTCAATTACATATGAACATTATCCTCGTTATACAACCGTACTGAAATGCAATACAAGAAAACATATCATAGTCCAACCTTTTTTTTCCACAAAATGTAAGGTAGTACACAAATAAAATGATCTAAGTTGTTCATTTATGCAATTTCACATAAAAACGTAAAGTTACAAAAAGCAGTTGAATCACTATTGGAATGAAATGCATTAACGTATTTGAATATCCGAAAAGGTTTTAGAAAAAAGAAAAGATTATAAAATATCAAAGTCATCGTAAAAGTTACTATACAAATATATATCAAAGAGTATTCAGAAACTCGGAGCACTGTCAACAATCACACCTCTCTCTTTAAACATATACAGTTAATAAATTGAACTACAAAAAAAAATGTCATGATTTCCTAGCTATTGTCATCCATGCAGATATTTCAAGGTCGACATCTATAGTTAAACATATTGGAATCTATACTTGCAGATACTGCTTTCCACTACGATAATTTTCCAAAAATAAAAATATTTCTGTTGACAATTTCTTCCATTTAAAGTCCTCAAAGGGAATATAAATTGAAAATTATGATAAAATTTTAGCATTGGCTATTTATAGGGGCCAGTGGTGTGATTGATTTATTAAATGGATTTATTTAGAATTTGATAAACGTTCTTTGAAACTTTCATTGATATCAAACTTCAAAGTGATTAGCTAATAAACATAACAAAAGAAGTTTAACAGAAAATGTTTTTATAACTGCCCGTGTTCTTTGATGTTATAATAAATTAACTGTTTTATTTCTGACTCACAGAAATACGTGTTCTGTTAAGTTTGTGTACGATACATATAATAAATACTGTACCAGATAATACAATAACTACATATGACCGTGTTACACGCATTTTACGGGGCTTTTTAGGTGCAAAACTATTCAAGGCACTGTCATAACACTCTTTCTATTTCATTCAAAATGCATTCAAGTATTATACATTTATATATTATTCCATTCTATTTGTCCATGTCGTTTGGAATGCAACTTTTCTGCACTACCGTGTCAATCACCGCTATTCACAATACATGTATATACACGTACATGTATATAGACGTGCTCTCAGATAGCCAAATAACAAGTATAACCCTATGAAGATGCATTTTTGTATTTTTGTATTTTCGTATATTTCAAGAGGCAATTAAATCTTTTAACAAGTCTTCGAAATGAAACCTGCACGTCAGCGAAACAAATGTTTCTACTGGAAAAAGCAACTGTCGTACCTTAAAAATAACTAAAATTAAAATCAGTGGCCAATGTGGGTTTCCGGTACACTCGGACACCACAATGTAGCCAACGCAAATACTTACCGGGAAAAGAAGAATCATTGCTATTTATTAAAATTGAATTGTGCATTGTTTCCATCATCCGCTTTTTAATGCAATTTTAAACGCCGAATGTAGGGACTGACCTAGATGACCGAAACACACGTGGCATTTTAATTATGTTTGTATCGGTATAGTTATGATATTAAAAAAATCAGATATTATTATCATTATTTATTTTATTAACCAAATACACGCCCCTTTTCTTAGCATATCAAAAAATTTCCTTATTACTTTATATACAAATATATTGCACGATTCGATTTTGTTTGTACCAAAGTTACATGACAATTCTATTATTAGCAAAGTTTACGGGCTGTTCTGTTACTAACCATAAGTATAAGATTCGCTTTAAAATATCTGTTTATTTACATGGCCTGAATTTTATATTACAGTTAAACTTCGTTCGCTCGAACTCGGATCGCTCGAATACCTTCCTTCGCTCGAACTCATCGCCCAGTCCCGGCAAAATTCCTATATAATATATATTGTTCTACCTCGGATCGCTCGAACACCGATCGCTCGAACTCTCGAACCTGATCTCTGGTCCCTTCGGCAGAAATATAGTGAAAATCACACCTTTTCGGTCGAACACAAAAAGACAAGTTGGTATGTCCTAAATAAATGACAGTCGGCGACACATGTTTTTAACACCTCGTGATCGTGACAAAGGTAATTAAGATTGATACAAAAAAGAGGTGTTGTAACCGATTTATTTGTATGATAATATTGTTGATTTGCCGTTTATGGTAACGATTAAAAGAAAATAACTTGTGAAATAAGTGAAATATGCATGCCAATAAAGAATGACGTTACCCGGACGGCTTTAATTACAACCGTGGTTCATGTAAAGTGAATCGTAACAGTGTTATCTATTTATAGAATGATACTTGTATGTGTGTTTATTTTAGTAAATGACTACAAATAGATGATGCTGTAAATGTTTTTAATAAATATTTCATTAATTTATTTTTTAAAATTAAATTCATCCCATTATATACATATAAATATATTTTATACATTGTTCAACAAGTTTGGTGTGATTGCCCAATCGAACTCAACCAATTACAATATGCCTGAATATAGATAAAACACAGCGAACCGTTAATACTTAATTTAAACATTGGGATAATAATTCTGAGTATGAAATATTCGACGAACAGATATAGTAACAAATGATTATATTGACGCATTTATCATTCAAACGATGTAAGCTAGGAAAACCTTTATGCATATGATCAATGTAATAATAGTTCAACCTCGGTTGGCTCGAACTACCGATCTCTCGAACAAATTTGCACAGGCCCTCCGAGTTCGAGCGAACGAAGTTCGACTGTACTTATTAATCTTAAATTGCTGTAATTATACTATTTCCCTTGACTATATTACATATTAATAGGAAGAAGCAGTGTTTGGTTTTTATATTTACTTAAGACATTAAATTATTGAAAGGTAACTTAATTTCATTTTAACAATTTCATGAAAGGCTCTTATACTTTTGATAAGCAGTTCATCTGCTTTGGTAAAAAGAAAATGGGCCTATCTATTAGCTGATTGTTACTTAAATAAATATTTTTATATTGAAATGGACCTTGGTGTAAGTTTTGATTATGACTTGAGACCAACTGCGATACAAATGTAGATTAGAAAATAAATTTGACACCATTTGCTTGTACAGGAATTAATAACAAGCTTTATTGAAAGTTTTATTGACTCCTGACTGCTTTAAGAAGAGTAGTTTGTTATTGTAGTGACTTGGGACCATTAATATATCGTATAACCGTTAAAAAAATGATTACAATGCATGTACTTTAATGTACCCTTGTGCCCCTTGAGTAGCCAATCATTCAACGTTCATTATGGTTTACAAGTTCATTTTACGGTCGTCAAATGTGATTCAATATAAATTGATAATAAAATGTTTTCATATTTTCCAGGTTGTAAAAATGACCTGCTAACCAATTGCAAAAACAAACATGTAATGAAATATTTGGTCAGCTGAAGGACGAAAATTGGTTAAACGGCATCGCTTGTGTCGTCAACCATTGAACATAATGTACATAAGTTGACAGAATGTACATTACATATTAAAGCTCCATGCCTCCAGATGAGCTAAAGTATTTCAAGAAAATAAAAATTGAGACAAAAGTACTGACATTTTATGAAAAGTAAAAAAAGATTTAAAATAAAAGATACACTTTCCTCGTTATGTGCGATTTATGGCCGATTTTGTAGTTAAGTTACTAACGCAGTTATGGTCATTTTTGCATATTTTGACCTATTTTTGGCAATTTAAATTAATTGTTAGTGCTGTTTGCCATGTGAATAATATTTCTTTGTTCGCTTGACAATATTTTACTTTTTAATACATTTTCAAAATTTTCATGAAAATATGCATGAATCTGGAGGCGTATTGCTTTAAAAGCGCTCGACATTGTGGGTTCAATTTCCGGGCTGCCAACTAAAATGACTAACCAGTCTTTCGGATGAGACTTTAAATCGAGGTCCCGTGTACGAGTGCTTAAACACTTGGCACGTTAATTAAAGAATTGGTGGAAATGGGGCATCTTTCTGTATCTGTATCTTGCACTATCCGCCAAAATATAAAATGACTAATACTGTTGCGGAGGACTCGCCCATATATAGGCAACCGGTGGCGAGTAGAAATAAGCTCAAATTAAAATACACACAAACAATTACATAATAAGCAATTCCCACCGCTGATGAAGTTATATAATAGCCAGAGTCAGCGTTCTTAGTCAGTTATAAACGAGAGGGACTAAAATGATTAAATAATACTCATTGGCCAAATCAAAGTAACAATTTAACGATTAAGTTTGGTGACTTATCGACAATACATTTTATTATCGTATAAAATTAATATAACTTTGTGCAATGTGTATCAAAGTGAAATAATAAGGACCAGGTAAATGCATATATACATGTTTAAGAACGCACCGTTTTCATTACAATGTAATTATTTTTGTATTTATCAATTATTATCATTATTTTTAAGATGATGCATGGGGGCGTACCGACATTTATCATGTTTTGGATAAAAAAATGAAAACCGTGGAGAGGCCATTGGATTGATATAAAATGGAAAGATTTTTGTGAACTTATTTCCTGAATTTAAATTAAGGAGAGTATAAATTAAACTAGGCCTACTTGGTCGTGCTGATTTTTGGATAGACATTTTCCAACATTTTCCAGCTTTACTGCACAGTATATACTTGACTAAAATTCTTGCTAAATATAAGATTAATGGCGATTTGTTTTTTAATTCACTTGTGGTTTATTTAACAAAGAGACTAATCTGACTCTTTTTAGCTTTTATGAGAATCAATTTAGGAGATGATTTAGTGGTGTATACCTTGTATTTGTCGAAGCGCTTGCATGTATTTTCAGAAAAAATGCTATAGGAGCTGGCAAGCGTTTACCCGATGGAGGCGAAGTTGGCAGAATTTCGGGCGAAAAAAGAAAAAGAGCAGAACTCTCTTCGGTCGCAAATATCAGTCTGGTTATTTGGCAATAGAAATAAAGAAAACAAGTCAAAGCAAACGACAGAGACATTCATACCGACAGAAGTATTAACGAATTTCATATACGTACATTTTTAAAACTTGTATTAAAACCGGATAGTGTTAAGTTCGGATGGAACATTTGTCAGTACATGCATTTTTGATCATACTACGAAATCTTTTTAAATATAATTATTATATGCTAAAAAGACAAGGAAATGAGACAGTTAAAAGCTCATAAATATGCCGTGCACCCATTGATAGCAACAGGAAAAGTATCAATTACTTCCAAGTTCTACTTTCTGTTTCGGCTGCATTAAAAAGTGAACAACAGATAAATATTTCAAATCTGTTAAGGATATTTCTTAAATGCTGCCAAGTTGAACATTCGTTTAAGCAACATTTTACAAATTAATACTAGATTCATTTATTTGATTTCTGTTAACTTTTGTAAGTTATATCAGAGTTGAGTTTTTCCAGTTTGTCTAAATACCGAATATGAACTCATATTTGCAAATATGAACGGGAGTATCAAATATAAATATTATTTTATTAAAAATCAGCTGTTTTAGTCAAAGTCAAAACAAGTGGTTTGTATAAATTTATTGGACATATGTGTCCACACCTGGCGGTGGCTCTTGTTTGCTAGTACTTTAACATTATTTGGAAAACAAAATTTGATTGGTAGAGTCAACTCGGCCCTATACCAACTCTGCACAGGTCAACTTGGCACAGGTCAACTCAGCCCACTTTAAAAAAAAACATATTGAATGTATTACTTTTTTCTGATTGTGTTATCACGGCAAGCTTTTTTAAGTGAAAAATAAAGAGATATCTGGTATATTATTATTTAATCTATTTATATTCCGTTAATGTCAAACCACTCACGGTGACATAGACATGTCTGAATGTTTTACTGTGCGCTGTTGCTTTATTTATGTTTTTGATGGGATTATGATGTTGACTTTAGTCATGTGAATATTGAAAGATTTTTCTTTGTGTAAATGGGGTTTAAATGAAGCATTTTCACAATACATACAAGTGTGAACTTTCATTTGCTTATATCATACATTGTATATATAACTTATCTGTGTTTGCATAGATTACATTTAAGACAGTTAATGTCAAACCACTTACAGTGACATAGACATGTCTGTGCGTCAAAAATCGCAAGAAAGTTAAAAGAAGATGAAAGAATATTTAAAAATGTTAAAAACAGGGTCTGGAAAACTAGGGTGAGACATGTTGGATGCAAGCTATGGCTGCACTGAAAAGATACTGCTCTGGGGTAGGGAGTTGGGCAACTGCAGGGGCAAGGTGGTTCCAGTGGTATATTGTCTTAGGAAAGAATGAGAATTTATAAGTATGAAGTTGCTGTGAATAACTGCATTATCAATATGTTTTAAATTATAACAGCTTAACATCAAGATAAATAAAATGTGTCGGAATAAGTGCTTAAAATATTTTTCTCTTTATAGGGTCAGCAGGCACCATGTAGGAAAAGACCAGTTGCAACCAATGAAATATTGACAGCAACAAGCGTTCAAGAACACTTTGATGAATTAACTGAAAAAAATTGGAGAGACTATATTCCTTTAGGGTTGAAGGTACTTTTGTGGCTGTGTCTGTGGAAGTTTTTTATCGAAATAGGTTTTGGGGCAGTTTACTTTGTGGTTTCATGCTCATATTTGATGTACACAAATACTCAGACAGAACCTAGAAGAAGAGGACAACTAAGTGCATACTCTGTGTTTAATCCAAATCAGGAGAGACTGGATGGAACATTTACAGCTGAACAGTTTGAAAAAGAGTTACGTATGGGAGCAGGATCTGTCAAATAAACATGAAATATTTGCAAATTTGAATGTTTTACTGTGCCATGTTGCTATATTTATGTTTTTGATTGGTGTATTATGTTGACTTTAGTTATGTGAATATTGAAAGTTTTCTCATTGTGTGAATGGGGTTTAAATGAAGCATTTTCACAATACATATAAGTGTGAACTTTCATTTGCTTATATCATATATATAACTTTTCTGGGTTTTTTTCATAGATTACATTTAATAATCACAACATATGCTTGATTTGAATCTGAATTTAGATAGATCTGAAATTTATATCCTCTTAAAACAGCTGACTAACTTACTTTTTCTAATATTATCATTGCAAGTATTACATAGTTTCATTTGTTAAATTTATTTTTTGGACAAGAGGTTTTACTCTCTTTTGACATTGTTACTTATTTTATTCAAGATGAATCTGTATCGTTGTTTCTTAGTCATTTTTTTAACATTTACTTCTTGCACATTGTTAGAGGTTAACTGTAAAAGTGACAGTTATAAAAGAAAGGATGTGGTAGTAGTTGGTGGTGGAATAGCAGGAATGGCTGCAGCTCGTCGACTTCTAAAAGAAGGCAATCTAGCAGTTAAAGTTCTTGAGGCACAAAAAACCCGGTATGGTGGAAGAATTTGGACTTATAGAGAAGGTGCAAGAGGTGTCAGGGGTGTTGATGTTGATATCGGGGCAAGTTTTCTAAACACAAAGGCAAAAAATAACAGCCTAATCAAGATGGCTGAAGAATTTGAACTGGATACAGCAAGTTCTGGAAATCTTCAGATTCATTTTGTTGAAAAGAATGGTGAAAAGAAAGTTTATTTTGGAGATAATGCAACAGATTTGTACACTGAAGTGTTTAAACTTGTAATAAAAGCACTGGACTCTGTGAAGAAAGAAGGTGTAGATAGACCAGTCATTGATGTTATGCTAGAAGCGCTGGATTTTACTTATGAAACAGATGAACAGAAATATGACAAGAACATTGTTAAGGCTGTCATAACATCATTACCTGTTGCTGTATTACACAATTTTTCTTCATTATTGTATAGGATTGAAAATGATTTTGGCTGGGATAAAATTGTTCTTGATGGAATGGGTGCTTTACTAGACAGGATAGTTGCTGGTTCTGGGACTGAATTGCCTGTAAAGATTGAATTAAATAAAGTTGTAAGGAATATAAAAATTGATAGTGACAGAAAAAAAGTTTTAATCAGAACAGTGGATAGGAAACAAATAGTTGCAGATGCAGTCATTGTTGCTTTACCAATTGGAGTGTTACAAAATAAAAATGTCATATTTGAGCCTGATCTTCCAGCTAAGAAGAAGAAAGCTTTGCAAGATATTGGATTAGGATATAATACTAAAGTAGTGGTTGGATTTGATAAAGCATTCTGGCCTAAAGATGTTGGCACATTTAATGTTTTCTCAGAACTGGCATCATACGGTTTTCTTCAAACTTGGACCAATGCTTATAGACTTAGTGGAAATCCATTTCTGATTGGAAATATATTTAGTTCAGAAGCAAAATTATGGGAATCCAAACCAAAAAAACTGAAAGAATTAGTGATAGAAGTCCTCAGTGAGCTATTTGGTGCAGAGTTAGTTAAAGCTCATGAAATTAAAACATTCATACATTCCAACTGGTCAACAGATGAGTTTATTTTAGGATCAGTTTCCTATCCAAAAACTGGCAACACGCCAGAAATGTGGACAGCATTACAAGAACCTATCTGTCCCTATATTTACTTTGCTGGTGCGTATACAGAAACTGTGTCACATGTTGACTCACTACATGGTGCATATAACTCTGGTGTTAGAGCAGCTGAACAGTACATTAACAGAGTGTGTAAAAAGTCTAAAGAATCTAAGAAAAAGCAAAAGAAACAGCCAAAAGAAGATGCAAAGAAAGTTAAAAAGATGAAAAGTTCTAAAGGCCAGAAAACAAAGGAAGAGCTGTAAAAAGTCGTTTCATGTCATTCCAACATCAAATATTAACATCATCCAGTTATTCTTTTGTTCAACATATTTATTTTTTTGTCAAAACCTGTCATGTATAATTACCTAATTATGCTTATTTTAAATAATCAACAGAATTTCCTTTCTTTTCTTTGAATCAACAATCTACTTAAATGTTAACAGGAACACACTTTTAATAATAAAAAAAAATTGGGATTTCAAGAAAAATGAAAGAATCTCATAAATTTAAGTCAATCTCACAAATGTAAATGTACCTTGTAGAATTTTCACATATCTTTGAAAGTTATACCTTGTTTAAAGACAAAAATATCCTAACAGTTAGGAACAGTACAGGCAGCTTTGGATTTTACATCCATAGTATATACTGAATATCTGTTAACATTACAGAAAATATTGTTTTGAAAAGTTGCTGCTACTTTGGTTATTATATGTGTACAATGTATCTATGAAGTTTTGCAATATTTAGATTATTTCCTTAGATATCACCATTTTAATTGTTTTAAAGGTGTTGGGTGTCAAAAAATTTTGTATTTTACTCGTCATGACTGTATATCTGTAACTATGCAAATGTTATTATCCTGGGAAAAATAAATGTATATTTTGGAAGGGATTTCTTATTTTACAGTTCTGAATATTTTGTAGATCATTTCCTACAAGGTTATCATTTCCTGCTATGTTGTAGACAATTTCCATAGAGAACCACCAAAGTATCTCCCTACCAAATATGAGAAATATTTGGTGATATATAAGGTAGGAAAATGTGACAAAACTATGGAAGGCCAAAGCTGCAGTTACATGTATATGATTCTTTCGGATTTTATTTCGTAATATCAGAAATGGTCTTCCATATGAAGTAACAAAAATAAGAATTCAATTTGTCAGTAAAATGTCTTTATTAGAAAATAGCATTGCCACAATGTGCCATGTATTGACTATAACAATTTTTGTGATAGGACCCACTTTATAACAGTACATATGTTATGTTGATACAATTCAACAAATCATTAATATAACATATATGAGCCGTGTCACGACAAAACCAACGACCAGCATGGATCCAGACCAGCCTGCGCATCCACGCAGTCTGATCAGGATCCATGCTGTTCGCTTACAAACCCTATTACAAGTAGAGAAACTGATAGCGAACAGCATGGATCCTGATCAGACTGCACGAATGCGCAGGCTGGTCTGGATCCATGCTGGTCGCAAACCCATTATGTTGAGTTTGTCATGACATGGCTCATATTTCAATAAAAAATAAATAATCAGTTCATCATTTAATGTACAAATGAAACTCCTAAAACAAATGCATTTATACAAGAGATAATGATGTTGATGATATCCTACAGTGAAAGGTATATAACTCGTGATCTGCTTTTTGTATCCCTCAATTGTAACTATATGTGGTAGATTACATTATTAAAAATCTATAACACAGTTGAAATACATAGGTTTGAAAAGCTTAAAACAAAATTTAACCTTCAAGGTAATGAAACTAAAATGTAGATGCCTGAGATACAGTTTAACCCTTAATCTGTAGTGAATTTCTTAATTGGACCTGTCCAATATCAATTTGAGGACATCGCTATGAAAATTTTCAAGTTAGTTAGCCAACAGTATACAGCCTGGTCATACTGTATTAAAGTTGTACAAACATGCTGGCTGGCCTGGCTCTATACTAGTGGCATGGTCTAAACACTTTTTCCAGCAGGGTAAAGGATAAAATATTTTTCTTTTGAAAAATTGCTTAACAAATTATGATGTTGATAACATTTTAATCACAAACTGTCCTCACATATCATAGGAATGAAATAGAATTTCTGGCTGACATTTTTCTCTTTATCAAATAAATCAGTGTCTTACAAATTTATGACTATCTGAAAGACACATAATAAATTAAGTTTCAAAAACTGATAATGGAAGCTGGGCTGATGGCAAGTGTTCTATATATCTGAAATTCTATCAAACCAAATGCTTTACGATCATAAGATTGATACTAAAAGACATCAAGAAAAGACCAATATGTGTATGATATGTTTTAAGAAAATCTAATCTGTTTAGGTAAACACATGAACCAGTATTTGAAACATAAAAAATAACAACTTCTATACTTTTTACTTGAACATGCAAAATCAAAGCTACAGAATAAATGTTCTACAAATAAGTAGACCAAAATGATTCTGTGTCAATAAATATTATTACATCGGGTCTGTTTTAAATATTGAATATTCTCTTTTCTATCCCAGGTGGTTTTTAAAAGAAACTCAATTCTTAATATGGTAAAGATGCTAAATACCAAGTTAGATTATATATCACTGGTTTTAAAAAGAAATCATTTCAGAGCATATCTATATGTAGCCCTGGGACCTGAATAAAAAGTTATCTGCAGTTAAAACAACATTAAGATTCTGTACAAACAAACCTGAAGAAAAAGCTATTAAGTGTTTTTTTAGGTGGAGACCAGTGGGTGATTACCATCCTTTTGGGCTCTACCGACACTAAGCTCATTCAATTGGTTTCTGGTATGGCACACATATGCCACAGGGTTCTATATATTGTTTCTGAATTTAAACAGATAAAGTTTTTATTGGGTTGCAGGGAACAACAAAGCTTCGAAATCCCCCAGGTTTTCACAATGCAAAATATGTTTAGTCTAACAGGAGGTAAATCCTACAAGTCAACTGCGTTTTATTCATTCCTCATCTGTGATCTGATTATGTAATTGTTAGTATGAGCCGCGTCACGACAAAACCAACACAATGCGTTTGCGACTAGCATAGAGATGGTATCACCACTGGATCCAGACCAGCCAGCCCATTATGTTGGTTTTGTCATGACGCGGCTCAGTATGAGTTATGTAAACATTAGCTACTGTTGGCAGTCACTGATGTCATTGATGATTTAGCTTCCTCTGATAGTTCCAATAATTTACTATAGTAATTCACCTGGCTAGTTTCTACACCAAATGTGCTCATCTAAAATATATAATTAACAAGGTAACTGCAATAGTGATGAATAATCATGGTCAAAGGGAGACAACTACAACAATATATAATGACTAAATTTAGCAAACTCAATTTTCTAGAAAATGTAATAATTGCATTAAATAATTTAATTGTTGATCTATTTAATTACAAATAACTGAAATTAAAACTTCCTTGAATATAAAGATACCAAATTAAATTACTTACAACAAAATTTCAAAAAGATATTGCTGAATAGTAGAAAATTAATCATAAAAGAAATATAAATAAAATGAGCCGCGTCACGACAAAACCAACATAATGGGTTTGCGACCAGCATGGATCCAGACCAGCCTGCGCATCCGCGCAGTCTGATCAGGATCCATGCTGTTCGCTTACAACTCTATAACAAGTAGAGAAACTGATAGCGAACAGCATGGATCCTGATCATACTGCGCGGATGCGCAGGCTGGTCTGGATCCATGCTGGTCGCAAACCCATTATGGTGGTTTTGTCATGACACGGCTCAAATATGTATTTATATCTTTAAAATTATATTTAAACATAAGTACATTATTGGATCAACTTGCAGTATATCAATGAAAGTCTAGTCGTTTAAGATTTAAAAATTTTACCAGAAAGATACAGTACATAAAATTTCATGTCCTTCTTACAGATACAAAATTATACCTGTATTCCATAATTTGTAATATCTAGAATAAGTTGTTGCCTAATTTTATCATCATCAGTGATTCCTTGTGATCCTGAAGATTTCTCCTGGCCACGCCCTTTCTTTAAACGTTTTAAACTCTCCTCCATTTTCTTAACAGATGACAGGACATCGGATGTTACAGTAAAGTACCTGAAATGCAAAAAAATGTCCAGAAAAATGTAAATCATCTTTGTGTATCAAACTTATAAGTAAGAAAAAAAAATCTGTAATGCTCTTGATCCAAATCTCTTTAGTAATTATAATTACTGCAAAGCACACATTATGCCTCGACAATGGATTTTTTTCTTCTTTGGAAAAGGCAAACATGAGTTTTATAATGTTTAGATAATAGATTTAGAGCATGGCAAAGGCTTGTACCCAAGAATGTAGCCCTGAATAAGTAATTATTTGTCATAAAAGTAGCTAAATGTAAACAAAGAAGTATTTTGACTTCCATACATAATACTAAATCACTATACATGTAACTACATACTAACAAATAACAACAGAAGCTGTTGGGATATGTGTAACTTTTTGGAAATAATATCCGAACACCACAAAATAAAAATCTTTTGAGAAATAAAAATAAAAGCATTTCTTGGGCATGATATGCCCTTAAAGTAGAGTAAGTTAGCTATAAATGTTCTACAACTTGGCTTTAATGCTCTGTATGCTAGACCCTCAATAACTAGTTGCCAATGCAACAAATATGATGTTTGGCCAGCTTCACAGGTGAGAGTTATACACCTAAACCAATGCTTATGTATGGCCATATAACCTGTCAAAAATCTTAATACATAATAATATAAATCCATGGAAAAAGAAAACATACAGATCTAAAGGGTATCTAAATTGTAAACTTACTGTTCAGCAAGATTAGAGAAGACCTGAGCACACATGTCTATTTTCTGTTGGTCCCCTAGAACATCATTATGTTCCTCTATAAATACAGTGAGAGGTTTGACAACTGCTGTGATGTAATGAGATGGCTTACTTGGTACCTGGTCAAATATAAATTACATGTTCAGATTTATAATGAAGTACTCTTTACATACCTGTGAAACTGAATAAAAAAGTCCAACTGCCTAAGTACAAATCTATCATAAGGTATATAATATAATATATTTCAGGCAATTTTGGGTTATTCAACATATTAAATTCAAATGATGCTAGGGTGTTGAACTTCTTGGTATGAGAAAGTTTTTGAATTTAATTTGTTAAGAGAGGTCAGAAAGGTCAGTCCAGGCAAGGTGTCCACATTTCCATGAACATATTACGCATCAAAGGTTAAGCTCCTCTTGTAAACTATGAAATCCTCATTAGAACTTTATAGCATATGAATACTCTAATATCCAACTTATTAAAAGGGCTCCACTGAGGTTTTTTTTCTGACATGAAGGGACTGAAAATATTCTTTTGGGGGGAATTATGTACCATTTGCTGAAGGTCTTGACCAATAACTTGTTTGAACAATATCAGATCATAACCTCACTCCGTTTTACCAAAATTATCATATTAATATCGCAAAATGTCCAGAAAATGAAAAGCATTTAAATGCTTTAACAAAGGCTCGAAAAAAATGATTTCCAGTTTATTTCTAAATACATTTCTTTACAATCTATCTTAGTTTGTCATTTTAAATGCCCCAAGTAATTGAGTCATAGCATGACATTTTTCATGTCTCCTTTTTTAGGGCTTTTGAACCTCAGTGGATCTCCTTTAAGTCAACAGTAATACAAACCTCTCTATTAGTTCTTCTATATAAGCGTGGAATGTCATTAACTTGTTTGAGATGTACTGCACATTGATTGGTCACATCAACTACAACATAGTCTCGAAACTGTGGTAAACTTTTCTCTATTGCACTGCTACATTCATTCAAACATACTGAAAACAACAGTAAACTAGAACTGCCACTATCATGGCGTGAATACCCCAGCATACCACTTTGTCAGAATCAACAGTGGCCATTTAGAGCTCTAGGACAACCTCCCTGCCAAATCTGACGTACTAAGCCAGTGCATTGCTAAGTTATGTATTCTACATGCTTCAAATGTGAAAATGTCAAAATCAATACATTGCGGACAGGACATTCTTTAGCAATTAAGAAGAAAAGCTTTTTTTTTTGTCAAGGTCCCTGTGACCTTGACCTTTGACCCAGTGACCTCAAAATCAATAGGGGTCACCTTATAGTCATGATCAACATCCATGCCAAATATGAAGACTGTGGGTCAAAGGAATCTTAAGTTAATGGGTGGACAAACTTTTTTGAAGTCAAAGTCCCTATGACCTTGACCTTTGATCCATTGACCTCAAAATCATAAGGGGTCATCTACTAATCATGATCAACATCCATGCCAAGTATGAAGACTGTGGGTCAAAGGAATCTAAAGTTATTGGGCAGACAAACTTTTTTAAGTCAAAGCCCCTGTGACCTTGACCTTTGACCTGGTGACCTCAAAATCAATAGGGGTCATCTACTAATCATGACTAACCTCCATGCCAAATATGAAGACTGTGGGTCAAAGGAATCTTAAGTTATAGGGCGGACAAGCTTTTTGAAGTCAAGGCCCCTGTGACCTTGACCTTTGACCTGGTGACCTCAAAGTCAATAGAGGTCATCTACTAATCATGACTAACCTCCATGCCAAATATGAAGACTGTGGGTCAAAGGAATCTTAAGTTATTGGGCGGACAAGCTTTTTGAAGTCAAGGCCCCTGTGACCTTGACCTTTGACCTGGTGACCTCAAAGTCAATAGGGGTCATCTACTTATCATGACTAGCCTCCATGCCAAATATGAAGACTGTGGGTCAAAGGAATCTTAAGTTATTGGGCGGACAAGCTTTTTGAAGTCAAGATCCCTGTGACCTTGACCTTTGACCTGGTGACCTCAAAGTCAATAGGGGTCATCTACTAATCATGACTTGCCTCCATGCCAAATATGAAGACTGTGGGTCAAAGAAATCTTAAGTTATTGGGCGGACAAGTGTTTTGAAGTCAAGGCCCCTGTGACCTTGACCTTTGACCTGGTAACTCAAAATCAATAGGGGTCATCTACTAATCATGACTTACCTCCATGCCAAATATGAAGACTGTGGGTCAAAGAAATCTTAAGTTATTGGGCGGACAAGCTTTTTGAAGTCAAGGCCCCTGTGACCTTTACCTTTGACCTAATGACCTCAAAATCAATAGGGGTCATCTACTTATTATGACTAACCTCCATGCCAAATATGACGACTGTAGGTCAAAGGAATCTTACGTTATTGGGCGGACAAGCTTTTTGAAGTCAAGGCCCCTGTGACCTTGACCTTTGACCTGGTGACCTCAAAATCAATAGGGGTCATCTACTAATCATGACTTACCTCCATGCCAAATATGAAGACTGTGGGTCAAAGGAATCTTAAGTTATTGGGCGGACAAGCTTTTTGAAGTCAAGGCCTCTGTGACCTTGACCTTTGACCTAGTGACCTCAAAATCAATAGGGGTCATCTACTTATTATGACTAACCTCCATGCCAAATATGACGACTGTAGGTCAAAGGAATCTTACGTTATTGGGCGAACAAGCTTTTTGAAGTCAAGGCCCTTGTGACCTTGACCTTTGACCTAGTGACCTCAAAATCTATAGGGGTCATCTACTAATCATGACTAACCATCATGCCAAATATGAAGACTAAGGGTCAAAGGAATCTTAAGTTATTGGGCGGACAAGAAAAAACCGACGGACGGACGGTCGGACGGACAGCCGGACGGACAAGCTGATTCCAATATACCCCCCTTACAACTTTGTTGTACGGGGGTATAATAATCAATTAAATTTTGCTGTTGTCTAGTACATGTATATAATAAAAATGACCAAATGATAATGTGGCCAAATAACTCGACTCATAATTTGATAGTATTACCATTATATCAATCAGAGACAAAGCCTTAAAGTTTGTTTGAACTTCACTACCATAGGACTCAAATTCTTTCAAATTCAAAAATGATTTAAACAGTAAAGCAAGCTTGTATACTGATAAACATAATATATATTTGAACTTTACCTTTCATGGAATGAACAGTTTCTTCATTAAGGCCGCTAAATCTTGTTATCACAGTTGTTTCTAGGAAACCTGGAAGCTATACGTAGAGAAACAAATTAAATTGTTAGGTACGTAACATCCACTTACTTTGCCAAAGAACTTTGCAAGACAGCTTAAGCCCTATATTTTGTATACAAGTATATGGCATTCACAAAAGGCATCATATAAGTCAGGTCTTGATCTTGAATTTTAATATCACATCTTTTCAACCTGATAAATTACATATTGGCCAATATTTGGATATTGTATACCAGTATTAATGCATGTATTATTACCCATGTTACATTACATGTATCTATCTGAATGCATAATCATCCTATAATATTGAAATATCTTAAAACATTCTAATTAATGAAACATTCCAAAAACATTTAAAATAACAATTTTATGGTAAATGAAATAAATTATTTGTAAAACTTGGGAATAGAATATGAAGAGTATAATCATTATTTACCATGTCCAGAAGTTTTCCTGCATCTGATATAAGGGAAATAATTTGCCCAATGGTTATAGGTGGAGCTTGTGGTACAGTAGGAGTGATTCGCCCTTCTGTTTGGCCACCAGGGGGCAGTGTGTCTAGTCCATTATTTGCTCTATCAGGACCAGACTTTGTTTTACTTTCTACTACACTGTCAGATCTGTCGGTTATCTGTTAAATATACATGTACATACACATAAAATAAATAATGAATAAAAGAGAAAAGCAAACTTTTGCAAAGTTGGCAATGACATCATCATTTATAAATTAATTCAAGTTTAATCAATGTCTCACCTCTTCTTTTTTCTATTTTCATAATCATTAAAATGTGACTACTTATGTTTTACACTATCATTAATTGCATGAACTGACAATATCATAAACAAATGAATTATGTTGTTTCTTCTTGTACTGAACTCTTGTAACTAACATCTATAACTTTCAGTTTACCTGTTCTTTATATGCCTCATCTAGCCATGTTGAATATCTAGCAAGGATCTGTACATTTAACTTCCAGAATCTGTAGCCTAGTGGTTTTAAATAGACTTCTTCATCCCAACATGTCTGTAAACTCTTCCATAGCTCATGTGTTGAATGTAAATGAAATTCTGATCCAGCTGTTAAAAATAAATAGTAAATGACGATAGATTTTATACATTCTTTTTCTAAATAAAAGAGTACTGGTTGGTAAGTAAATGCAGAATATATTTTGATTGAAATGATCAAAGGTAATCAAGTCATGAAACATTCTCATAGTGTTGCATACATGCCATTATTTCTAGGTTAATTTCCAGGACAGTCAGCAGATTTTTGGGACAGTCCCGAACATTATGGCATGTATGTAATCATGTATTGAATTAACTTACTTATATAACGTAGATTCTTATGTTTATAAGCTAAAGCTAAAAGTATGGTAGAGAACATTGGAGGTTCCAATCAAGAAAAGACTGATAAACGATTTTTTAAAATCAAATTTTATGCATTTCCAACTTTACTGGCGGGGAAATGAAAAATCCCAGGTAACCCTGCATGCATTATTTGAACCATGACATATTGGTAAAACCACCGATCTCCGTAAACATTTTATAATGCAAAATTGTATTTTCCTCAAGCACTACAACCTGCAAGTTAATATTATATTTATGAGAGGACAACAAACACAATCCAAATATCTAGCAAACAAAAAAATGTTTAACTTGTATCTTTTTGTACATGTAGTACTTTTCTTTGCTGCCTCACAAAACTAGAACTATCACTAAATGTGATAAATACCCCTGCAAGACTGCTCCGGAAATGAGGAAGTTACTAGTAACATAATACCTTGCAAAAGAACTGAAATAGAGTTATGGTTGTGGTCAATTAAAGATATTTGTGGTGCTTGTATGTTGCATTTCCTTTCAATGTGGTTGACCATTGATGAAGATTTATTGAATTTCTCTGTAATAAGTCCAAAAAGAGTTACACTTCCTGAACACTGCACTTCCTCTCATTGCACTTGACCATTGAATGAAGTTTTATTGAATTCTAAACATTAATTTTTAAGTTATGCACCTGACAAGGAAAAGGAACAAAGGGCAAAAAACTTTACAAATACTGAAGATGGAGTTATGGTTATTGTACACTGCACTTCCTCTCATTGCGCCTGACCATTGTATGAAGTTGTATTGAATTCCAACCATTAGTCTTCAAGTTATGCTACAGACAAGGAAAATGCAACGGAGGGCTGGACTGACCGACCAGCAAGTGAGTCCTATATACCCCCCCCCCCAACTTCTTTTAGGGTATATAACAAGTATAAAATTCTGTTAAAACACCATAAAGAAGTAACATGTAGAAAGTAATATACCTTGTGTTCTATTAAAAGCAGTAAACAAAGATGATTCAAAGCCTCCAGCAATTTCCTGAAACCTGTAAATATATAATTACCAATTAATACATTGTCTCCAAACATGCCATTATTTATTGCAATTAATGCCTGAGAAAAAAAAAAATTTTTTACAAGTCTTTCAGAAAGAGCACACCACAATCTGGCAATAAACACATAGTAGCTTTGAAAATAATTTAATCTGTGTGTGAAACCTATATTATTCAGTATAGAAAAGACTATAAAATTTTGTTGTAGGAAATCTTCGCTAATGTTTTACAATGATGCTCCATACAGCAAGACTTTGATACTTTTAAACCTAAGTCAACTCATTTAACAATATCCACTGATAAAAGACAGTAATTTAAAATATAATTTACCTGATTTGAAAATAGACAGGAAGGCTCCATTTGTTGATAAATGTGTGATAGCTAGGATGATCTCGTAATCTTTGAACACTTGCCTGTGAGCCACACAGAGTTTCAAACCTCTCCAAAAACTCCATACTGATCAGATATTTCTGATATTTAAATGAAAATATATTTTATTTGTAAATGACAAATTTCATAACGAATGTTAAACATTATTTCCATTAAAGAGGAGAACGATTTAATTTACTAAACTATATCTATATATAACTCTGTCTTGTGTTATAAATGTGATGTATATATGTATCTCATTTAAATGACTGTGTTTAAGCCACTTTACTTTTAAAACATATTCCTATTCATTCAATATAATTAATCTTTCACATGCATATCAATAGGGATGGCAACAAGTAACTGGACAAATAGACTATGGTTAACTTATACATTTCTGAGTGACTGAGTACTCAAGTACTGAAATCGGTACTTGTTGCCATTACTTCATATAAATTTTTAAACATTTAAAAAACAACTTTAGATCTCAGAAAATATACAGATTAAACTATCATAATATGATTTGTAAATTACCATTATCAAATGTAATGTAAAAAACCACTGTAATATATTGTATTTTCACACTAAAGAGAAATTTGTTTAAGGTCGTTTTCTATTTGAAAAATATAACTTATTACATAAAACAAAGAGTTTAACTGAGTTAGAAGTTTTAATAACTTACAGCATGAAAAATGTTTGGATTTCCTGGAGCAAATATTGAGCTTGTTTTGGCTTCTATATTACTCACAACCTCGGGCCAGACAGAATTTACAATAAAATCATACCCTCTAACAGCATCAGAACTCCTGGAAATATAGAAATAAAAGGATACTGATTGTGAAACATGACTGACAAGAAAAGCTTTAAAAAACCTCATAAAAACTACATTTCTTTTACTTGATATGATTTTATGTTAGCTGATAAAATTGTATCTTTAGATAATAGATACCCATCACTTGATGTGGTCAATCTTGTGCAAAGCATCTGTGTAATAATGAAGTATAATCATAAATGAAGATTTATGGAGAGAAAAGAATATCACAAGCCTAGTCTTACAATTGTTTTGTTTTTTTTGGAATTAAGACTCCACCAAGTTCATAATTTAAAAAATGTATTTAGTGGATATTCAATGATTTAAATACTAAATTCATTGATCAGGTTGAATAAAATCATATTATGCGAGCCTCTAGCAGGCATAATATTGTTTTACTCCACAAGTTCAATAAATTTAGTATTTAATCTACACAAATATTCAATATATCACATATCCAAACAGTTACAGTTATAATGAGTCACTTTTATTGAGGCATCTAAAGTGTAATGATAACAATAGTGCGCTTTAATGTTACATTTGTATATAACATAAATGACGTCATCAGACGCTGATTCTCTTATTTGCAAATGCAAGTAGTCCAAACTCCTCAAAGCGGTTACTTCCCTATATATGTACACTAACGCTGAAAAATTAAGGGGAGATCACTGCGTAAAGATTGTCAAATGACAGGCCCATTAATTTTCGTAAAGAAAAAATAGTTCCCGATTGGTCAAAGATTTCTAATATTGTGTTATTCTTATAGATATACATGCTAATATTAAGCTCCATGATTATTTACATCAGTGTTAAACAACAGGTTTACCGTGAACAAAATATATCGAAATTATTAAAGGTTACAAACTCTAATTTAGAATAATATGGTTTTCTTCAGACAGCTCTCTTAAAATTTCACCGTGGTCGAGGGGTTAACACGCTCGCTTTGGAAGCGAAAGGTCCGGAGTTCATATCCTAATTAAGGCAATTGATCTCATGTTCTTTTTTTTTTTCTTTTTAAATTGTTTTAAGCCAAATAAACATTGAATTGAAGTGTTGCAATTAGTCTTATAGCCAATTTACTAGTTATAACACTGGAAACAGCATTGGTGACACTATACAAACACTGGAAACAGCATTGGTGACACTATACAAACAAATTGGTTTATAATCTCACAACCTTCACCTTTCTGACATTCTGAGACCCAAACAAATTCAGCGCCTTCTGTGCCTTGATTATTAAAATGGCTTTATTAAACTCCAGCATCTTGGTTTATGCGATACAATATATATTCAAATAAATGTTGATAGAAATTATAGTACATTACATTACTTACCCTGCTGTGACCCTGGATGTTACATCAGTTAAACGTTTACAGTGTTGTGGAATAAACTGTAAAACTTTGTCAAACATGCCTTTTAGGCCATTATGGTTAGATTTTATAAACTGTTCTGAAATCACCTGAAATTTGATTAGTAAAACTATTTTACCTTTTTATTCAATATTATAACAACGCTTGTTCTAAAAGTGTTCATATTTGTCAAAATTGAGTACAATTATCTTAAACTGAATTGGTTCACAATGTACACATTGTCCATAAGTATTCTTAAAATGGATAAAAGCAATAGAAATGTATCATTTAGATATTCTTATTTATTTATTTATTTGTTTTCTTGAAAAATAATATTGTTAATAGTTTTAAGCTGTATGAAATAATTAAGCTTTAAATATCCATAACATAAATATCTAAACAATGAGCTGTGTGGTAAAGGTGCCAACAAGAAATTTAAGGGATGCTAGCTGTGTGGGTTCAAATCCCCATCAGCAGCAAGCCAAAGTTTTCTTGAGCAAGAAATATCACACTCATTGTCCAGTACTGGTTGGTTCTAGGTACAGATGTAAGAGTGTGTCTATTAGCTTATAGTTTCCTACATAATTGAACTAAAACAAATTCTGTATAAACCAAATCTGTATATCTTACTTCCTCCATGTAAGGTTTTACAATATGTTGTCTATACAAAGTCTCTGCATCTTTTATTTTGTCAATGAGAGAGTATGTCCTCAAACACTGCTTCAGTATATCAACATTGCCAGCATCTAGACCTTCCAGGAAAGATCCCTCCAAACTAAACTGCAGCGTTGTTGTTATGTTAGCTATTCTCTGTATAGACGGAAAAAAAGTTGATAAATCTGATTGTAATTTTTCAAAGTTGTACAACTCAAGATATAGAAATGTATACATATATTTCATCAGTAAAAGGCATCCCAGTAATAATTTTACCATCTTTATCAATAATAGTGATTTTCTTTGGTAATATATCATACAAAATGTCATAATTATAGCTACATAATAACAGAATCTCAATGCAATTGTTTCAGCAAACGAAAATTTTCTGTTTACAAGAACAGAATTTTCAGTTTGCCTTGATTAATCCATACATTAGTTCCAAAGAAAGTAGAAACAATTTGATGAAATCAATTCTAAAGAGTGGTGATATTTTGTAAGTGTGAGGGACCACATTTATAATAGTAACTTAAACTTTGAATATGTACAAGTTAACATTTGAGACTTTGGCAGTGGCTATAGTTTGTTTTCTTAAATCTGGAAAACGAGCACCAAACCTAAGGCATTGCAACATATAAATAATATAAATTTCATAAAGTGCTACCAAAAAGCTATTTCAAACTTAAACTTTGTACAAAATCTAAATACTTTTATTCTGAATTACTAAGAAAAAAAAAGAGAAAAAAATTACTGGCTTAATCTGTTCAACAAGAGGTAACCCTCGACTTTTTGTCACATAAAACTGAAGCTTGTTGAACTCTGTTGCTACTCTTTCTATCAACTGTCCATTCAATGGTCTGTAAAAATATACAATTAAAACTTCAATCATGTAATTTAAATTAATAAATGTTTCATTTATCTAAACTGGAATACTTTTTTTCTTAACAAAATTTGTTAAAAATAACACATTCTTATGAATCAATAAAATATTTCCTCATTATATAAACAGGATGAGCTTGATATATGCAGTTATTTACTAAAATAAGATTTTTGTTTAATCATTTTGTTAAATCCTTTCTAATATATTTTGTTACAAAGTTTATTACAAAGAGGACTTCAAAAAAAGTTTTGTATTGTATGTACATGTAATAAAATACAAACCCAGCATGTGACAGACCATCTCCCCCGCCATTTGGCGTGTGTATACCTAACAATCTTTCTATCTTGTCAACAGATTCTGTGATGTTTATCAATCTCTGCACGCAAGCCTACATGTATGTGAAAATCCCTTTATAACTATAATTAGCACATTTTCATATTCAAGAAGCACACACTTTAAGCAAATGCTTGTTATTTAAACACTATACTGCTACCTTCAAAAAAATTATTACATTGTACACAGATTTTAGGATATACATGTAACTGCTAGATTTTGATTTCATAAAAATTTGTTGAAAATCACAAACCATTTTCATACAAGTTAAGAAATGAAAAGCCTATTTCTTTATAATGTCCATATGGTACACTAAAGATATAAATTGTTTCTTCCTCTATAATTTGGTGTATATAAGTGATTTTTTTACTTAAGTCAGGATGACAAAATTGGCCAAACTAAATTGACTAATCAAAATATACAAACTTTCTCGCTCTACATATACATAATCATCTATTTCTAGATATACATTAACCAGTTGTTACCTTTCCCTGTTTAATTTGTTGCCTTTTTCTCAGTTTGTCTTCTACTGCTAGGATTGCGTCATCCATTGACTTTCTTACTTTCTGGAAAAAGAAGATATTCCTGAGAATGAATGAGATAACATAAATATGTAATATATATATATATATATATATATAGAGTCTTATTGCTGTTACATGTTAGAAAAGCAAAACAAGAATTAATATCTGCTTTTCTTTTTTTGGAGACATCAGTTTCCTATTTACAGGCATTAAATTCAGCAATGAAAATTGTAGATAAATATTTACTGTTTGTAACCATAAAAGTAAAACTTACTAAGACTTCATCTCGGAGTTGTTCAAGAGGAGACGTTAAACTTCCAATGGCCTTGTCCATTCCAACCTAAAATGCCACATTTAACATTTTATTAATTTTGACAAAAAAATATCAATTATTTATAACAAAACTTTCTACAGGTATTTTCTTACTTTCCAAAATACATTTCAATGCTCGAGTTCTTTTAAAATTTTGTAAATGTTTAATCAATAACTATAACTTTATATTAAACTTTCATTACATATGAAAAAAAATTTATTCAAAATTATTTTATAATAATCTACTTTTGAAGAAAACTATTTTAAGCATACCAAGTTGCTTGATAGATTGACAAAATCTGCATAGTCTTTGTTGATCAATTCTATCATAGCACTCCTGAGAATTTTAAGATACACAGAGAGATCATCTCTAAAATCCTCTAACTGTACACGCCTCCTGCACTCTAACACAAAATGGTCAACATTGAAGTCATCCTGAAGAAGAGAAAATGAGATGAAATATACACAGTGCATGTATGTATCAAAAATAGAAAAATAAATTTCCAAGAAAGGAATTCTCAACAAGCTCTTCTGGTATAAAAGAGTATTTCTATAACTTTACTATGAGCCATATATCCTAAGAGAAGTAAAAATCTAAAATGTCTTGGTTTTTTTTTGTAAGCTCCTCTAAATGCATGAATTTTGCCGACAAATTCAAGAGAATAAACTATTTTAAATGGCAATGCAATGAGATTATTATTATGCAATTCATTTTCATGAATTTCTGCAGTATTTTACACACAAAGTTCACACAACACAACAATTTTACATGTAGAACATAAGACCCTTAAAAATTAATTAAAATGCAGTTGTTAGCATGTGTGTTCGACCCATTTCATCTCTTTGTTGATGCATTTCAAGTTTAAATACCATACAATGTACATGCCATGACAGTCTTATCTTTCAGACCTGGGTGGTTTTTTACTTTCAGGCTTTACTGCAGTAATTTGTGTGTAAATAAGGATCTGTTCATAGTCAGTTTTGACAGAAAAATATATATTGCATTGATTCCATGAGGAAATCTGACAATATTACCACACGGTGAAAAAATTTTGACACAGAGAATGGACATACCCATAATTTTTCCACTCGGATGTTGCATACCTTGTCTACAACAATATAACAAAAATCAGTTGTTTTTTTCTATTTTTAATTTTTTTAGTATAACATGAAAAAAACAAGGTTAAACATATTTTAGGTCAAATCAATGTGACTAGCACCTTTGGTTTACATGTAATCTGAACATGTTATGCTTGATATTAAATCCTTAAAGCCTAAAGCCTAAAGCTTTCCGCGCCATAGGTAGCACCTAGAGGTATAACGATTCATCAATGCATCGCGATCTGTCCTGTCCTCGATGTATGCATCAAAATGAAATTACAAATTCCAATATATCGCGATGCAATACATATTTCATATCCTGATGTATCGATATAGTGGGAAAGTATCGCACTAACAATATCTTTCAGGAATATAAGGACAAATGTATTTTTTGAAAGACTGAAGAAAGAAAAAAAGCTCGGATGAAAATAATGAACAAGCACGACTATTATCATATTGTTGTCATTAACCGCAATCATTTAACCAACCAAGTTTTATTAATTCTATATAAATGGGCTGTTGTTCTTTGAACTTGTTTATAATAAAAAATAATTAGAGATCTATACGTTTTCAACAAAAAAACAACTCACAAACATGAATTTGTAATTTTATTTAATCACACTTGATGTCGGATTAAAATAGTGATGGTGACAACACGCCCATGTGATATTCATCACGTATTTATACATTCATATCCGATGACATATTTTTCCGTAAAAAAAACAAACAAACAGAAAACATGTAGACTGCAAAATACTGTATAAGTGGTTTTTTCTGCGGGCTCCAAATTCTGCGGTTTTTCAAAATTTTGGCATGTTTTTATTTCTGCGGACTTTATTTCTGCGGCACATTCTTTGAAAAAAACGTGATTTAAATTCTGCGACTCGTCTTATCAAAGTATAAGTCACATTTCTTTACCTATTTTATTTGCATGTACACATTCGCATTTGTTTATCATCGTCATCGCAAAACTGTATAGTAATTACAAACAATTATATTGTTTGCTTGCAAACAAATATAATGCACAACAATAGAAAAGTATGCATCTTTTTATCAGCGTGAAATGACGTGTGAAAAATTTACCCTGGGAGTGTATTTCATTTAATGAAAATGATAGAAGTTTACCGTGAATCAGACGACAATTCAAGTATACGAAGATTATTTAGCAGTATAAGGGTTTAAATGGTTTGAATGATTTAGTGGTAGACAAAACTTTTAGCGTAACGGCAGTTACTATATATGATGTTTAAATAATCTGTTAGTCGTTATGACTTTAGACGAAACAGATATGTAGGACACATATCGTAACAGGTTAAAGAACAAAACATGGAGAAATATTCTGCGGTTTTTATTTCTGCGGTGCTGAAACTGACCGCAGAATACGCAGAAATAAAGTCACCGCAGAAAAAACCACTTATACGGTATTTAGAAGGGTAAACTATAGTTAAATAATAAGTTAATCCTCCCTCGTCATATTATTCAAGAGTTTTGGGAACATTGTGGTTTTCGGGGAACCAACAGACAGCGTTGCATAATGTGGAAGACCGGACGTGGAGTGTTTGCAAAATTTACAAACTCAAAATAAAATACTCTGGGGTTGAGCACACATCTTTCGAGAAAACTGAGAGTGAAACTGTTATTTTCACAGTTGTTGACCTAATTGTAAATCACTTGTTACTATATTTTTTTCACAAGAAAAATCTTTTGTGGTGTATTGTAAGACTGAAATTGTTAAACTGTCATATTTACAGCAGTGGACTTTTAAAAGTGTTAGAATAGTAGATATCAATATGCTGTTATGGAATAATTAAAAATACCTTTAATCCTTAAGTAATCAGAAAAGTAAATTGTTAAAAGATCAAAATCGGAAACAAAGTTATAACAACAAGTTTAAAAGTTTATTGTTTGGTTATTGTAATAGTTTCATATTATATTTGTAATTATGCTGTAAACAAATGGCCAAATTTTTATATACTAAGTCTGAAAGTCAGTATTGTGATATGTATCACATCGCAATATAAAAATCGCACAATATGCATCGCATTTCTTCAAAGTATGCAATACAAATCATGAATCGCATCGTTTGGAAAAACAAGTATCGTGATATGTAGCCTTCTATCTATCTTCCTACCTTCCATTGATGTCAAACCCCCTGCGGGGATGTAGACATGACTAGACTTCAGAGACAGCTATGAGATACAAGGGAATCCGAGAACCAGTCCCTAGCTCTTATTGAATAGACCCCTTGGTTCTTTTATATGCCCAGTGTATAGCACTGATTCATGCGAGGATTTCCTTGATTTCTAACCAGTACACCTCTTGGTAGGTGGGAAACACTGAAAGTGTCTCTGAAATATCCCAAGGGTGTTACCCAGGAATGAACCCGTGACCTCAGGAGTGACAGTCAGTGGCCAAACCAACTGAGCTATCGTGCCACCTTTACCTACATTTACCACAATCTTATTACGCGGTCATGTTTACTGCTAAACATGCCCGTGTTATAAAAAAATGTTTTACTCACTCAATAATCAATGGACTGTAAGTTTGGACCTGTCAAAACATTTATTGATGGACATTATATTTGAAGCCACTGTTAATATGTTTACCTTCATAAAATCATCCTTGTCAAAACAGAGGGATGCCGGTCCACTTGGCAACGGTACACTTTTTACTGGGTCGCCTGTCATTGCTTTTTGGGCTTAAAATGTCAAAAATTAAAAAATATTTTGCCACATCTTTAATCTTGATCAATATAACGTTTGAATGTTCAGAAAGAAAGCGTCTAATAGAATTTGAACGGTGTCATTAAAATATTGTATCGTAAAATTTGTTAAACATGTAAATTGATGCCATATAATTTCGCGAGGAACACGTTCTATTTTATTTTGTGATTATTTTGGTACTAGGCTAATTTTAAGAGACCTTTTCATATGATTTCATGAAAAAACATAATTTCAGTGTTTTTGAGTGTGTTTGAATGTTGATAATCTGTTACCTTTATTGAAATTCATTAACATTTGTTTCGATAAATTGTTTAAATATCAATATAAGTTATAACTCCACATGGTACATTAGTATATTTTAGACTATTAAAAATTTTAATACTGGACAATTTAAAGATGCAGCGATTAGGTAAAAGGAAGAATGCATCAAATCATGCAGACCAAGTTTGTTCCCCGAAAAAACAAGAAATTATTCCAATGTGTACGGTAGATATTGGTAGGGATGAGACATCAAGTAGTGAGGAAAATGACTCTGATGTTGCAGATGAACTTTTCAAAAAGTTAAGAAAGAACAGAAATGAATCTGGTAGTGAAGAAAATGAAGAGCTTGATTCAGGTGACAGTAGTGATGATGATACTGTTCATAAAATATTAGATGACAGCGAAGAAGAAGAAAGTGATGATGATGATGACAATGACAATAGGGAGGGTATTGGTTGTACTGACAAAAGAAATGATGACAATAAAATTACAGCATCTGCAAAAATAAAATTGTCTAAAGCTAACAAAAATTTAAAAGAAATTGGAGACTTGCCTGGTAATGAAAAAGATAAAAATATGCTTGATTCATCTGAAGATGAAGGAAGTGGTGACTCTAGTACAGATGAAGAAGGTTCTAGTGACGATCAGGAAGAGTACACTAAAATAAATACAAGAGACAAATCTACTTCAAAATTAAAAGGTACATTAGTCATGCTGGAAACAGGTAAAACAAAGCAAAATGAAGTTGAAAGTTCTGATGATTCTTCTAGTGATGATTCCAGTGTAAATGATGATGATGCAGAGTATAATATTAATGAAGTAAAACATGTTAATGAAAAATTACAGACTGCAGGAAAAAGTTTAACTGTAAAAGGCACTGGTATGAATAGTGATGAGTGTAGTGATGAGTCTAATGATGAAAGTAATAAAATAATGAAAAGAGAAAATAATTCTGATTCAAAAGTGGTTCAAATTGGCAATAAACAACCTTTAGACAAAGAGGTTAAACAAGCTGTCAAAGATAACATAAAAGAATCATCATCAGAAAGTGATAGCAGTGATTCAAGTGATGATGGAAGTGATGATGCTAACAAAAATTATGAAGGCAATAAAGTGTCTGAAAATGATGAAAGTGAAGATGAATTTGTAAGTTTGATAAATATTTGTTGTTCTTCTTTTTCCTTCTAGAATTTTCAAGATTAAAAAATAAATTGCAACATGATACATATTGCAATATTAGAATTAAATAATAAAAAGGAGTTGACGTTAATTGTCTCCCTCCCTATTAATAGAGATTTATTAATATTATTTAGGCTGTATAAATTTTGCATAAGGCCATCCTTAAAAAAATGTTTGTTTGCAGTAACGCGACAGACTCACAAAATTTGCCCCTACTCAAAAATTTTTTTCATGGTCTGGATAAAAAATTTTTTTTTTTTGAATCAGAAAATTATGCCTTGTGCTTTGTTTTCGTTCTTTTAAAGGTTAATAGAAGAAATGAAATGTAGGTCTTACTAAATTAGATTTCAGTTATCAATTTATAAATTGTTACCAGATTATCAAAGCATATATTGTCCAGCATTTTGAAATTCCATGTTTATTTGGGAGTACAGTTCAATAAAGAAAAAATTTAAAAAAATCGACCTACCTACCCACCTTGAAAATTCTGGGTCGGGTTACTGCAAACAAACATTTTTTTAAGGATGGCCTTTAACTAAGAACAGAAAATGTCTGATGATTTTATAACTTTTTAAATCAATTTTTTTCATTCTTTATTTCAGGCAGCAGTAAAGAAAGGTAAAGTATATTATGTTATTATGAAAAAAAAAATACTGTATAAATGTTATAAAATAATACTAAATTAAAAAGGCTAGATTTGGTTATACTTATATTTGTATCTTCAGATTTTATAACTTTTCAAAGTTAATTTGAACAAATCATATTACAATGTAAATTTATATATGGTCACTCATTATCATACTTTATTACAATCTTTACTTTTTCAAGGGAAAAAAGAAAACTATAAACAAAAGGGATAGTTTTTGTTCTATGATAATGGATTTTTATTTGGAATATTAAATGATCTATAATTCATGTATTAAATGTATTGCCCTTTACTAGGTATTAGTTCTTTATTCAGGAAAATAAAAGAATATGTTTTCACATTTGTTTATAGAAGATTGACTGTTCTTTTGGGCTGCAAAAAATCTTAATTCATTTTATGATGTATTTTATGATTTGATATGCACAATTTGTTTCCCAGTTAATAAAAATCATTGACCAGCATGTGATGATGATATTTGTTGAAATCAGTTGTGCATTTAAAAATATCAACAATTAAACTTTTATGAATTCCTCCTTTATTTTCTTATTCATAAAAGATTTTACTGGTGAGGTTTTTATTCATTTGTTTCAGAGTTAGCAGATATTCCATTAGAGGATTTAATGAAAATAAAAGATAAACTTGGACTTAAAACGTAAGTTTGAATAAACGCTTCTGAGACTGTTATCTCCTTATATTTTAAACAAAAGGAATATTAAAGTCTGTTACATAATAACTCCTTTTAAATATTATTATTTATAAAAAAAAATGTAAGTAGTAAATCGCATAGTACATTATTGTTTCAAGTAATATTTTATAAGAATATCCAAATGATACATTTTTATAGTTTTAATCGATATTTGAAATACTTGCAGAATGGCAGATTGTAGACCAATGCACTTTAAGTTTTAGACAATTGTTTCATGATAAAATACAAATAAAGCTTTGGATCATAGTTAAGAAAAGAAAGAGAACTTATTTTCAATGGACTTTCATGGTTTAAGTTTGAGTTATTTCCCTTTTTCTTTACTTCTTGATGAACTTTATTTTTTTTTCTGCATTTAAGTATGTCATATGTGTAGTTAATAAAGTACCTGAAGGGAAAAAGAATACTGGATTTTTATTGATAAAAGAATGTTTTTTTTTTTACAGGTTCAACAAAATTATGCATGGGGATAAATTTGAGGAAAAGAAACAAAAAGTTTTTAAAAGAGAAAACAAAAACAGGTAATTATGAAAACAAGATGAATGTCGATAGAAATATTGACATAGCTTTAATATTCATGGTTTTAATTGATAAACATTTACAAATATAATCAACAATGGAAATTTATGGCACAGTCAGATGTTTTGTAAGAGGGCTTTAATTTTTTTTTCTGTGGTTATGGCATATGATTTTTATTTATTTTTTCAGACCAATGGAAATATCAGCAAAGAAACGGATTCCAGTCATAAGAAATGCAATGGTTCCCAAAGAAAAGGTATATTTTTACATATCGATGATGTTAATAGGTATTATAGGACCTCTGCACTCATCTTGGTTTAACATCTATCTGTTATGGGCTACTGGCAATTAACAATTTAACTAAGAATCACATGTGTCCCTTATAGACATTAACTGTATTTTTCTTGATTAACAACAGAAACACAACACAAATGATTAACCTAAGATAATCATAGCAATACAAATTTACATTTTTTTTATCCCTTTATATGTCTTAAGACTATATTTTTCCAACCCTTTCAGAGTGGCCATGTCTTAACAAGTACTTGTATTATTGTGGTTTGTTGAAGTTTACTGAACCCCCAAATTCTTTAGTGTGTAGATGCAGTTTTGTGTTATTTCCCATGATTTGAACTGATTCTTTGTTTTCAAATATTGAGGGATTTCTTTAGAATACACCAAGTAATAAAGCATTGCTTACAGTCATCAACATTGAAGTTTTATCACTTTAAAATTTTCATTTTATTGTTTTGACTTGCTTTTCAGGTACGAAGGGATCCAAGATTTGACGATTTATCAGGAGAATTCCAGGACAAGCATTTCATGAAAAATTATGCTTTTCTCGATGACGTAAAACAAAAAGAGAAATTGGTATGAATAAAATGTCACATTTTTAGTACAGTGACTTAAAAATAACTACATGGATGATAATACATGTATATTCTAAATTTTCTTTAATTGGGCTTTTCCAGTTTTATCCAATCTACTTGGGTGAACTTTCGTGACAGAAATAATGCATGGAAGGGCACTTGAGGTCTTCCTCCATTAGTATAGCTGGAAAGTCCTCATATGACTTATACTATGTTAGTGCATCGTAAAACCCAACTGAAAAAAAAATCAAAACAGCAAATGATCTTGTTGATTCCATTGACCTGTAACAAGCAAGTTTGAGTTCCTCTTGAAGCTTTGTTTTCTAGGAAAATTGCAAGCACTTCCTTTCATGTAAGGAATTCAGCTAGCTTATGGCAGTTTGATGGTCTTACTCAGGTTCCTCCTTGAGCCTGGTATTATATTTAAGAGGTTAAGATTGTTGTCTTCAAACTGTTTGCCCAACACTGTTGTTAGTTTGAATCCCACCAGGGACTTTGAAATCTTGCATGTGAGGAAGCTATCTAGCTAGCTTATAGAATGTCAGTGGTTCTAATTAGTGTCGGTTTGTGCCTGAAATAATGCATGGTGGGGCAACTGATGTCCTCCTCTTCCAGTAAAGCTTGAACTCGCCATATGACCTATACTGTGTTAATGCAGCATAAAACACAACAAAAACTGCAAGGAAAGCTTTAAAGTCACCATATGGCCATATGTTGTTATGACTTGAAACATACCTTTTGTCTGTGATTAAATAGTAAATAGAGATGTTGACTAATTTGGAAGAACATGTATCTTAGTACACTTATGTTCACCTTTCATTTACATTTCAGCTTGTACAGAAAAAAATGAAACAGACAAAAGATGAAGAAAAGAAGAAAGAACTTTCAAAACTGCTTAATAGAATGGTTAGTAGATACATGTATGTTAAAATAAATAAATAAGTGAGAAGATAAATAAATAAATAAATGAATATATTTATTAAGACTTAAATATGTCTTTAACAAGATCGCAAGACTTTAATTATCAATAATTTATTATATATCTGCATTAGGAGAAGTTTACTTCATGTATTATGAATCTGAGAGGGCTTGTTTGTTTGAAACATCACTAGGTATTTTCTGCTATAACACTTGGCCTGCTGAATCTGTGTAATGACTTAATCCAGGTTTAAATACGTCATCAAAACATGTCATCATCACATTGTTATTGTTAAAACTTTATTCTGTAAAATTTCATGAATTTTTGGCCGGGTTGCACTGGTGCAAACCCGGGTTATAGTATGGTGAATGTTGGGCGGCGGGCGGGCGGGGAAAAAACTTTCGTAACAGTTTTCTCAGCAACTACTTATCACAGCCTTTTGATATTTGGTATACAGCAACAATTCATGGTCCCATACTGTGGGATTCGATTTCAGGTCTGTCGCTCATCTACTTCTTGTTTGCTGACCTACTTAAATTTTCAGCATTAATGGTCAATAGTAGGAAATTTTCGTAACAGTTTTCTCAGCAACTACGTATCACAGCCTTTTGATATTTGGTATACAGCATCAACACATGGTCCCATACTGTGGGATTCGATTTCAGGTCTGTCGCTCATCCACTTCCTGTTTGCTGACCTAGTTAAATTTTCAGCATAAATGGTCAATAGCAGGAAATTTTCGTAACAGTTTTCTCAGCAACTACTTATCACAGCCTCTTGATATTTGGCATACAGCATTAACACATGGTCCCATACCGTGGGATTGGATTTCAGGTCTGTCGCTCATCCACTTCCTGTTAATCCACTTAGTTAAATTAGTTAGATTTTTGGCCGGGTTGCACTGGTGCAAATCCGGGTTATAGTATGGTGAATGTTGGGCGGCGGGCGGGCGGGCGTCCGGGCGGCGGGCGGGCGGGGAAAAAACTTTCGTAACAGTTTTCTCAGCAACTACTTATCACAGCCTTTTGATATTTGGTATACAGCATCAACACATGGTCCCATACTGTGGGATTCGATTTCAGGTCTGTCGCTCATCTACTTCCTGTTTGCTGACCTACTTAAATTTTCAGCATTAATGGTCAATAGTAGGAAATTTTCGTAACAGTTTTCTCAGCAACTACATATCACAGCCTTTTGATATTTGGTATACAGCATCAACACATGGTCCCATACTGTGGGATTTGATTTCAGGTCTGTCGCTCATCCACTTCCTGTTTGCTGACCTAGTTAAATTTTCAACATTAATGGTCAATAGCAGGAAATTTTCGTAACAGTTTTCTCAGCAACTACTTATCACAGCCTCTTGATATTTGGTATACAGCATTGACACATGGTCCCATACCGTGGGATTCCATTTCAGGTCTGTCGCTCATCCACTTCCTGTTAATCCACTTAGTTGAATTAGTTAGATTTTTCAACATAAATGGTCAATGGTAGGAAATTTTCGTAACAGTTTTCTCAGCAACTACTTATCACAGCCTCTTGATATTTGGCATACAGCATTGACACATGGTCCCATACCGTGGGATTTGATTTCAGGTCTGTCGCTCATCCACTTCCTGTTTATCCACTTAGTTAAATTAGTTAGATTTTTCGACATTAATGGTCAATGGTAGGAAATTTTCGTAACAGTTTTCTCAGCAACTACTTATCGCAGCCTCTTGATATTTGGCATACAGCATTGACACATGGTCCCATACTGTGGGATTTGATTTCAGGTCTGTCGCTCATCCACTTCCTGTTTATCCACTTAGTTAAATTAGTTAGATTTTTCGACATTAATGGTCAATGGTAGGAAATTTTCGTAACAGTTTTCTCAGCAACTACTTATCACAGCCTCTTGATATTTGGCATACAGCATTGACACATGGTCCCATACTGTGGGATTCGATTTCAAGTCTGCAGCTCATCCACTTCCTGTTCACATTTATGGTCACTGGTAGGAAATTTTCGTAACATTTTTCTCAGAAACTACTAATCACAGCCTCTTGATATTTGGCATACAGCATTGACACATGGTCCCATACTGTGGGATTCGATTTTAGGTGTGTAGCTCATCCACTTCCTGTATACCCTACTGAATTAAATTTTCGACATTAATGGGTCAATGGAAATTTTTTTTCGTAACATCACAGCCTCATGATATTTGGTGTACAAATGCAACCCGGCCTTTTCTGTCTTTGACCCATTTTTCGACATTAATGGTCAATGGTAGGAAATTTTCGTAACAGTTTTCTCAGCAACTACTTATCACAGCCTCTTGATATTTAGCATACAGCATTGACACATGGTCCCATACCGTGGGATTTGATTTCAGGTCTGTCGCTCATCCACTTCCTGTTTATCCACTTAGTTAAATTAGTTAGATTTTTCGACATTAATGGTCAATGGTAGGAAATTTTCGTAACAGTTTTCTCAGCAACTACTTATCACAGCCTCTTGATATTTGGCATACAGCATTGACACATGGTCCCATACCGTGGGATTGGATTTCAGGTCTGTCGCTCATCCACTTCCTGTTAATCCACTTAGTTGAATTAGTTAGATTTTTCGACATTAATGGTCAATGGTAGGAAATTTTCGTAACAGTTTTCTCAGCAACTACTTATCACAGCCTCTTGATATTTAGCATACAGCATTGACACATGGTCCCATACCGTGGGATTTGATTTCAGGTCTGTCGCTCATCCACTTCCTGTTTATCCACTTAGTTAAATTAGTTAGATTTTTCGACATTAATGGTCAATGGTAGGAAATTTTCGTAACATTTTTCTCAGAAACTACTAATCACAGCCTCTTGATATTTGGCATACAGCATTGACACATGGTCCCATACTGTGGGATTCGATTTTAGGTGTGTAGCTCATCCACTTCCTGTATACCCTACTGAATTAAATTTTCGACATTAATGGGTCAATGGAATTTTTTTTTCGTAACATCACAGCCTCATGATATTTGGTGTACAAATGCAACCCGGCCTTTTCTGTCTTTGACCCATTTTATTACATTTTTAACAGGATATATGCATTTTTTACTTACAACATAGTGTATTTACGATATTCTTTTTATCCACATTCAATTATTGTCTGGCTACTATGAAAATTATTGTTTTATAATTTCACTGTGAAATTATCAAAATATAATTTTACTATCTACTGAAAAGCGTGTGATAAATGTATGTAGTTTCTTACGGTATTATTTATTAATGTTAGAATCAACAAGAGCAATTAGAACAGAAAAAGAGACATAGAATAGAATTGGAGCAGCAATGGAAGCAGAAAGAGAAACAGCTTGTGAAAGAAGGGAAGACGCCATACTTCCTTAAGAAATGTAAGCTTTAATTCTATTCTTGTTCACTTACAGATATTAATCAAGATTTCTGTTTTATATGACTTTATACCTATTTACATGTTTGACTTTTAAACAGCCTGTTTTTACATTCCCTGATGGACCCACTGCTTAGATATGACCAAAAATGTGTTGTAATTTGCATTAAAAAATAATAACAAATAAACTCCAGCAAAGAGGATTTTTGTCTCAGTTGTTTAAATCATTCATGTGAGTTTGTTTTTAGTCTAATGCATTTCTGCTGAACATATTTTATAAGTTTACATTTTATTTATCTTATCCGATTTTCTCTACCTGGGTATTTTATTTAATTATTGAACAAGCTACATGTGTAATATTGTATTATATTGAAGGCGATAAGCTCTGTGCAATTTTATACAACAAACTATATTTGGTACATTAAAGAACATAAATACATGCAAAGAAAATGCAAGTTAATGTATATTAATCATTAAAATATTATTTCAGTGAAAGGGTTCTGTGTTGTAGCATATAATTATAAAGTATATTTTAATTTATTTTTACAAATATTATTTGCCTTCCAGCTGATAAGAAGAAACTTGAGTTAGCAGAGAAGTTTAAGGAGTTACAGAAATCAGGGAAAGTGGACCAGTATATGAGTAAGAAAATGAAAAAGAATGCCCAGAAAGAGAAGAAAAAACTACCAGGAAGACATGAGAGATTTCAGTGAAAATGACATTAAAGTGACATTAAATACCAGCAAGACATCAGAGATTTATGTGAAAGTGACATTAAATACCAGCAAGACATCAGAGATTTACGTGAAAATGACCAAGACATTAGAGATTTATGTGAAAATTGTAATTATTCTGTTACTTTGAAAGTTTTTATGATTCAGCAATCAACTTTGAATTTTATTATTATATCTAATCAATTATGTTAAATTCAAGTAAAGAAAAAGGGAATGGAGAACAAGACATCCAAACACCACATTATAGATAACTATTCAACTACAGTACCTGTTTAAGTGTTTTAAAACTTCTCATAATTAAATCGTATTGATGCATTTGCATTTAGCAATTCCATTGAAAATATTATTATTCAATAAAAGGATATTTTACAAATTACTTAGTGCATTTTATTTAAACTCTTTAAATGAAATTTTCTGAACCCTATCTCATTAATATGGGAATTTATGATTAAGACGTATTTTCTTGAATTTTATTCTTTATGAAAACGTTACACAGATTTTTAAAAAAAAAGATAAATGATTGGGTAATCAGTTGTTTTAGTGCACGAAATAAGCAAATAAAGAATGAGCTGTTTTGTTTCTTTACTAGTAGTAAGGATTTGAAATAGAAAATGCAAACAGTTGATGCAGTAATAGTAAATCCAGAATATGTACGAGTAATCGTTACATGCACATGTAGTTAAAGCAACTTGTATTCTCAAACTAGGACTGCTTTCAACATTATGCTATCAAAAAACCACAAAAACTTGTAAGACGATCTCCCCAGATATATGCATCATTTGGACTTTGCACTCTTACTAGTATTTCATCCCCAACTTGAAGCTCTGTTACCATAGTAACAGATCCTTGTTGTCTATCGGATGCAAACATCCCAGCTGTTGGTACGCCATTTTTAACAATATTTAGTTGTATCTCTCCCTTTGTCATCACAGAAGCTGAAAACATGTACACACCTGGCAATGGTGCAATAAAAAGTCCAGTAGATCTATGATATCCACTTCCAATGTTAACCTTTTCTTGATCAAAAACAATCACTTGACCAACTGTAAGATGAGATACTGCATATGGATACCCTGTATTTTTGTCTATTGTAGCATGGAATGCTACTCTACCAAGGCCATCACTATTGGTACCGTAATTACTGCTACCACTACCACCACCACCACCAAATGAAAGTAATAATGCATCTTGGTACTCTGAAAATAACATTTATGTAGCTGAAGAAAATATATATTGGAACTTTTCAAATTATACTAAACTTTAGTTTATTGAAGTAATAATATTAAGATCTCCTTGGTTGTTTTCTCATTTTACTACTTCAATTTTTACTTTATAAATGTCTTTATTGTAACCTCAAGAATTCAACTTAATTAGACCCCTATAAGTTTAACAGGAGAGCACTATAGGTTTGCCTGTCTGTATTGTCTGTCTGTCTGTCTGTCAGAACTAATATTTGGATAGAACAATAGCTAAAGGTTGCAGTACTTTTCTTTGGATGTCATACATTCTGTAAACTTTTATGTGACTAAAAAGAATAGAGTGTACAATGAAGGACCCACATAAATAACTCTCAGTAGAATGTTCATCAATCAGTCGGGTTGTCCGTCTGCAAAAACTGGATCTTGTGATACATCAAACAGTATTGAAATATTTTTATGAAACTTGAAATATGGGTAGATGGCAGAATGGAAATTATGCATGTCTTTTTTTCTCCCTATGTTGAAAAATCTGGTTGCTATGATAACAACAAGACCTAAAATATGGCTATAATAGATCTTCCAATATATTGTGATAATTCATACAGTACTAAAAACATTTTTATGAAATTTAACTTATGAAACTTTTTATGATCATGCTTGGACTTATAATGTAACTTTCTGTCCCAGGATCATGGCAATTGGCAGTTATTCAACAAGGGTCATTATTTTGAAAGCAATATATGTTGAGTTATGCCCCTTAACTCAGAATTATTGTCAAAATTACCTATTAAGTAGAATGATTTTCAAAAGTATGAAAGTTAAACATGAATCTTGGAATACTTTTATGTCATGGCAAGGCACAGTTGAAAGGTAAGGGGCATTATTCTTAAAGCTATATTTCTTGAGTTACAAAATGCCCCTTTTTGACTTAACTTTTTTTGTCAAGATTGCTTATTATTAATAATGTGATTTCAAAACTATCTAAGCTATTAACTTGAAACTTTATTACTTAATATCATGACAAGGCACAGTGGTAAGACAATAGACATTATCTTGAAATGAATACTTTAAGAAGTTATGCCCCTTTTATATTTTTGAAATTGGTTAATGATAGTGGTTACTCTATACAGACGAGTCTGTGCTCTTGATTTTCTTCCTTTATCGAGAGATCTGATTGCTATGACAAAAAATAAACTTAGAATTTTGTAAAATACAACAAATAGACTTAGAATATTGTAAAGCAGCAATACAATGTACATGTATATTTGAACCCATTTATTAGGGATGTGTCTGACATACTCCTTTTAAGGTTCTAACTGGTAGGGAGCTTTTGTATGGTTTGCAATGCATAGATAATTGCTTGTTTATAAATGGATTGTCTTCATACTTGGACAGAACAATCCTTTGGTCAAGGTCTTCAAGTAAATTAAACTGATTATGACCTCTCATCAATGACCTTGACATTATAGGTCAGTAAAAGTGAATTTTGCTTGATTTTTGCCCTAACTGGCTTTATTGTTACAAGTAATAAATGGATTATCTTCATACTTGAGCACAACAATCCTTATGACAAGACATTCTAAAGACGATTGATTTTAATTTGATCTTTAATTTCATTTCATCTTGACACTTAAAAAGGTCGAAATAGTGAATATTCCTACAATTGCATGACCATAACTTTGTTATTTATTTTTGGGTTAGATTTTAAGGACCAGCTCATAATTGATTAATTAAACAAACTTAAAGATCCTGTAACACAATTTTTTCATGGTTTTATTTCAAAAATATGATCCTCAAATTAAGATTTGTCAATATTGTAAGTTTAATAAGCATTATTTATAATGATATTACCCAATTTAACATTTCATGTAAATAAAGGGAGGTAATTAGAAAGTTATTTTCTATAAATTCTAAGTCAAATTTTCCAATAAGAAATGAATGCATGCAATTTATTGATAACATAATTATAATGTGCACAAATATTTGCAGTACACATTTTACATATTCTTCGATGTTTGAAAATTGTTTTATTTGCATAATTACATGTATATACATTATAATCTTTTGCAAGTGTGGTATACACACAGTAACAATATCAATCACAAAACATACAGGATCTTTAAATATAAATATTTAGGAATTTATTATTAAAGAAATGTGTTATTCCACTTCAAACAGTTTTAAATGACAGGCTAAATATTATGAACTTACCAGCAGTTAAATTTGTTTCTGGTAAGGTATTGTTTAGGCTGCGCTTCACTATCTTCAAGATGGAACTAGTAGCTTCCTTGTTGCCATTTTGTTGAGGTGTCACATGATCATTGTAAAATTTCATATTTCTTTCATGCTGGTAGTCATTTTTCAACATTCTGGTCTTTTCTCTCTGTAACTCAGTAACTTGATCTTGAAGATCTTTGATTAGCAATTCTTGTGCCTTTCCTTTGTTTTATAACAGGGAATTATAAAATAACAACAATAAACAAGTTGATAAATAACCTGGATTAAATAGTTGTAATTTGTTATGAACATTCATTTTCAATGGCTTTGTTGCAAGAGTTTTAAGTAAGGTCTGAGCTAGCATTTCTGTGCAAATTTTGGCACTGGGAGAAAAAGACTTTAACAGGTATTTCAATATAACTATTTTGGTGTCAACATCAGTCCTTTAAGGGGCAACAACTCTCATCAAACTTGATGGAATCAGGCAGCTTTAAGAATGGAACTGTAATCTACTGGTGAAAATATGATATCTTTTAAGTCAAATAAAACTTCCTCTGTGCAAACAACACACAGCTTGCATCCTTAATTGTCATAATGAATTCAGGTGAGTTTAAGTCCTGTTAATTTAAATATACATTTGTAATATGAATATTTCAAAGTAAAAAATATCTCACCTCGCTCTTCAAGAACACCTATCCTTTCAACTAAATCATTGAGTAAATTGTCATTCACATCTACTGCACTAATGATTAATGGTTGTAACAAGACAAAAGCCCAGAAAATCTGCTTGGAAAACATGTTTTGTATTGTTCTGTTGATGACACAAACTCTTGTTTTATTAACAGTTGCATATTGTTACTGATAATGATCATCTTTGTTCACACTGTTAAATAGCATACATAAATATATATGTACATCATCATGTATTACACATGGTACTTAAAAATTGATAAAAAATTGATAAAAAATGATAAAACTTAAAATGCATGTACATTGATGTATGAATTTGATATCTCATCTAGGATCATACTAATATAAACAGTTACAAAATCAGTATCAGGTCTCAGAATGAAATGTTATTTCTTTAATACAATGCACAATATAGGATACACTTTGTTGTTTATTGGTGTTTTAGTCTCAGTTGTTTAAAGTGTCTCTAAAACCTGAAGATTCAAGTTCTGTCACACATGCTTTATTCTATCACGACAGGAAACTTATCTGACTTGACTATCTTTTAAATAATAATAACAATAGATGGTAGTTTTATACTTTTATTAACCTTTCAGCACTTACTTCCTATAATAGCAGGAGACTTATAAGTATTTGAATTATACTGTATGCATGATATGCATAGTATGATAGTTCACTACATGTTCACTATATATTAAAGCGGAGTATTACACCAGCTTTATAAGGTTGCTGAATTAGGTTTGAGTGGTAATTCTTAATTACTAACCACCTGAATTATTTTACAAACAGGAGCAATATTAACTTAAATAGTTAAAGAGACTTCTTTTTATCAGTATTAAATGAATTTACAGTCACTATATGATCATAACAATGTCATTAAAAAAAAATTACTTGTTTTAAGAATTGTTCATCTCTTATAAATTACATGTACATTGTAATAATAATTTAATATAAATAAAAAGCCTCCAAATAAGTAGCAAAGGTTAAAAAAAAATCAAAATCTATGAGTAATATGAATAAATTAAGCGTGTAACATTAAGATAAATAATTATTTATCATTATTATATAAAACATGCATGACTTGTATAAACCAGGTTAGACCTTTTAGATTGATCTGACAAATTCAAAGTTAATGAAACCGTAAATGTCCTTATTTCATTGTATCCAGTCTTTATCTTTTTTAAAGATGAAATTTATTTAGTATATCTACCAGTCACTGTGTTTTAAAAAATTACCATAATTTATTCAATTGGAACTGTCCTGACACTACTTTAAGCTTATTAATATTGGATTTTAACACATCAGAGAGTGTTAGGCTATCAAACATCCAGAAAAACTTGTAAGACGGTCACCCCAGATATATGTATCATCTGGTCTTTGTACTCTAACATATATTTCATCCCCAGCTTGTAGCTCGGTCACCATAGTAACAGACCCTTGCTGTTGTTTAGCAGCATATAAACTGGCTATTGGTTCCTCATTTTTAACAATATTCAGATGTATCTCTCCCTTTGTCATCACAGAAGCTGAAAACATGTATACACCTGGCAAAGGTGCAATAAAAAGTCCAGTGGATTTATGATATCCTCTTCCAATATTAACCTTTTCTTGATCAAAAACAATCACTTGGCCAACTGTTAGATGAGATACTGCATACGGATACCCTGTATTTATGTCTATTGTAGCATGAAATGCTACTCTACCAGGGCCACTGGTTGCAGAACTACAGCCACCACCGCATCCTCTTACAGCTTCTAAGCATTCTGCAGGATAATCTGAAAAATAAAGTGTGTTTGATAAAATCATCAAAATTACAAAAATTTCAACATTTCATCATAAATCAGTTCTGAAAACTGATGACAGGCAACAGATGAACTGTTTTGTATTTTTCTGATTCAGTAAATACATTCTCTCATATCACACAGAATGTTTGTATTGGTGCTGGAAAAATATTATTTAACACTTCCTTTACCACCTAAAGTGTTTACACTTAAACCAGATATATTATGGCATGCTGTCTGAACTGGCAGGTGTTGTAAAGTTTAATGATAATTACTGATAAAAAGTTAAAAAAATTACATTCAATGTGTCAAAAATGGCATATGAAGTCTGATAAGTTGTTAATATCAGTTTGTTTTCTGTTCTTCCAACATGAGGACTTAGACTAAGCTGGCCTTAAATCATTGTTAACTTACCAGCAGTAACATTAGTATCTGGATTGTTATTTCTTGTATTTTGGCTGTGCTTCACTCTTTTCATTGTAGAAGTGTCCGTTTCTTTGTCATCATTTTGTTCAGAAGTCACATCTCTTTGATTTTTGTTGTCTTTTTCTCCCTGTAACTCGTCAACTTTATCTTGAAGATCTTTGATTAGCAGATCCTGTGCCTTTCCTTTGTTTTATAAAAGGAAATTGAAAGAAAATATAGACAGTCATATTGATTTGTAAACCAGTGTATTCCTCATTATAAAAAGATTTTGTTTGTTGAGTGTTATGTCACACCAACACAGTATAGGTCATATGGCCATTTTCCAGCTTTACTGGTGGAGGAAGACCTCAGATGTACATTATTTCTGGCACCCATGTCGAACCAACCGATGTTCGATAAGCTTGCCGGATAGCTTTCTCAAATGTATAATCTGACATTTCAAGGTCTGGCCTATGCCACCAGGCCAGCCTTGCTTATGCCTCTGTGTAATTTGACTAGACACTATAGTATAAATCTGCTTTGTTTAGCATTTTGCTATTGAAACGCCATAAACTAAGAAGCAGTTTTAATTTAGATACAATGCTTATGGGCATTTTTTCACTTTTATATAATAGTCATATTTTGTGATTTAACCAAGATAGCCAGGTGATGAATAGCCATTTATCGCTTACTCCAATGAAACTATGTACAGCTTTTATTTCATAACAGAGTAAGCATAAATTTATGACTAATATCTTCCCCCTCAAAACAATTGATCTGGTTTTTAACCAAAGACAATTTACTCATACATTTTTAAATTGATATAGTGGTCATTCTATAATGTCAGTCTACAGGCAATGAAACATGATGTTCTTCTGATGTTGACTATTATAGCAAAATGATTTTGCAAGTCAAAATGATTTTGCAAGTTTACAAAAACTAACACGTGAAACATTCATTTTGCGACTGACCACGCAAGAAGGGCTAAATTGTAAACAGATTAAACTTTGATTTGACCTATTGACTTAGCTTTATTATAAACCAAAGATTGCATTATGACCAGCCTTGTCACAGATTTCACTGACACAAACATTCTGGTTAACCTTGAAGTGTGGGCAACACACAGTTGACAATCATAATAAAATATCATAAAATGTCTTTCATGTTTCCTAAAAAAAAAACAATTTTTCGAAAAATGGAAACAAATTATCATAATTAATATTTATTTTAACATTTTAGTCTAAGGATTGATTTTTTTTAACACAAATATAGAATGCAACATGGAAAAAAAGTTGTTTTTTTATTTTTGTTTTTCAAATTGTATTTTAATCATTTTATAATATCTCACCTCTCTCTTCAAGAGCACCTATCCTTTTCACTAAATCATTAACTAAACTGTCAGTCATTATGAGCTTATACACTGAATACTGGTTGTAAACAACACAAAGAATATCTGCTTACAACTAATCTAATATCACACAAATACTCTATTTTTACTTCCTGTTGTGTATACATGTACTTATACAATTGACAATTATTATGTTACATTTAAAAATTGATAACAGGTGATAACTAGGTGTATAAATTGCTGACATATATTCATCAAATATTTGATATCTCATCTATTTTAGTCAATGAAATGTAAATCATGTAAATGTAAACTACATGTACTGATATAGTTTAAATATGAACCATGTTAATACTGAAGTACTTTTGGCATAGTTGGTACAGTTGAGTTCACACTAAACTTCCCACCCTTGTGCACTTCTAGTGCACTAGAGCTGAACTAGAAGTGCACACCGTGTGCACTTCTAGTGCACTAGACCATATGACCAGGCTGGCCAGGGAAGGTGACACCTAAATGGTTTATTGGATAATTGCATATCAAGTGACAGGGGGCATCCATTGTTAAGCTGCTGTAAGAAAAAAAAACTTTGGGAATATATATGGCCTATTCATGAATATAAATAAGTAAATTTTAAAATCAGCAGTTTTAACATTTTAGGTGATATCATGTTAAAGCTAAAAATTTATTTTTTTTTATTTATTGTAATCATATTTTTATTAACCAGTATTTAACTGTAAGTGTAAAATAATACCCCTTAAAATCAAATTTATAGAATTAATAAGGTTAAATTTAAATATGCTCCGTAATGGATAATTAAATAAGTGTTTTAAAGCTTTTTTTAATGGCCATGTATTTCAATTTTTCTAGTGTACAAATGGGAAAATCAATGTGATAATTCTGGCCCAATTAATTTAGTTTGTAACAACATAAACTTTTTTTCATAAGCTCAAACAAATCAAGGAAAGGTTTATATTTAAGCTAAAATATTATTTCTATAATATATAACTTAGAGACAATTCCTCATGTTCAATATTGAAAGAGAATATTAATACATTGATTTTAAAACAATCAATATACTGTGATAATTTAGTATTCAACTGTGTAATGCTTGCATATGTTTTAAAGATATAAATAATTAAAATATTATCCATAAAATAAATAAATTTGATAACTTTATTCATGATTTCAATATTAAAAATTTAATGTATAAAGGGAATACTTTTATTGAAGAGGAAAATCTCAAGTCATGCTGTGTATTGGTATTATCTGAGAGGGACTGTTTTCATTATACAACACTCCTGCTGATAAGAGGGCCTCAGGGTAAATAACAAAGTACAGTCAATTTTGCAGATTATAAGTATGCATTGAAATTCCTTGGTTTTTTCAAAATGCATGTTTGACACAAGCTTGGGAATACCTGATGAATCCCAAGCTTGTGTCAAACATGCATTTTGAAAAAACCAAGGAATTTCAATGCATACTAAAATTATGCAAGCATTTCATGGTTGAAAAACATAATATCACAGTGTATGGATTGTTTTAATATCAATCAATTAATATTCTCTTTCAATCTTGAACATGAGGAATTGCCTCTTAAGTTATATATTATTATGCAGAATGGCAAGAATGTGAATAAATGGATATATAAATATATTAAAACAATCCATACACTGTGATATTATGTTTTTCAACCATGAAATGCTTGCATAATTTTTAAAGATATAAGTAATTAAAATTTTTCCATGAAATAAATAAAATTGATAACTTTATTCAAGATTTCTATATTAAAAATTTAATGTATAAAGGGAATGCATATAGGGAGTGTTAACTATTCTAGAAAGACTTCATATCAATATTTGTCCACATTTCTTGCAATTCTGCATTTAAATGTACAGCATCTTTTTGTTTCTGAACTGGGAAATGTTAATTTTTTATATTATAGATTTGACATATTTGCCTTGTCAGTTTTAACACATTTAGAAAATAATATATTTTAAAGAAAATATTTAAATACATGATTATAAAACTTTTGCAACTTCCTTTTCACTTTAATGCAGATCTTTCTTTTTTTTAATTAAAATATCACACATGAGCAGAAAACAGTTACAGAAGATTAAAGTGTCAAAAGTCATGCTGTGTATTGGTGTTTTAATATAGTACCCTGCTGATAAGAGAGCCCCTCAGGGTAAATAACAAAAGGCAGATGATAAATATAAGTAGGCAATGTAGGGAATTCTGTATTCTCTGGATGTTGGTGCAAATAAATTTCATTACAAGTAGTACAAAAAGAAAAAAGAAAACTTAAATATTTTTGCAGTTTATAATTAACTTATAAAAATAATCATATAGCATAATTATGTTGCAATGCATGAAAAAAAGAAAAAAGATTGGTGTCGTCTCAAAAATGGAATTGAAAGATTTTCTAATCTTTTTGTTAATATCCATGTCAGTTAAAGTATACAGTTACTAGTGTCCCACAGGTACATATCAATACTTAATCCACATTTCATACATACCACCATTATATATAAATATTTATTTTAAGAATAATATATATCATTTATATCAATCTTAGGTAATTCTCAGTTTGAGAAGGTAAGAAAGATTATAAATGGGACAAAATTGACAAAATTTAGGCCAATTATAAACAAATTAATTCTTTAATGTATTAAAGGCTATTAATGCTTAAAACCATTACCTTTAACTAAAACAACCATAAGTTAAGATCAAAAATAACTAATTGGTATAATTTGTCCCCCCCCCTCCCTCCAAAAAAAACAACAACAAAAAAAAAACTGACTGAATTTTGTTTAATTAGCATATCAATGTTTCATATTTCATTACCAGATTTTAATAAAATAGAATCATATTAAATATCAATTAAAGTTATAATTGTTTATATTTACTTATTCTAACAATTAAGTTTTAAAGTACAAAATCAGTAAAATTAATGACTTTGAAAAATTATTGTTCTAATATTTTACGCCATATTTTACAAAATCCAATATTCACAAATTCAAATTTATTATGAAAAACTATTATACAGATATCTATATTTATCTATCTTTTTGTAAAAGTCAGATTGCTATTCATTGAAATAAAAGGTAACTGCTTGATACATATAATAGGTCTGGTGCACTACAAAGTGCACTTATGAAGTGCACTAGTAGTGCACTACTAGTGCACTTTGAAGTGCACTAGTAGTGCACATCTAGTGCACTCCTAGTGCACTTTGTGTAACCTTTAGTGTGAACTCAACTGTACATGTAATTCTTCAGACTTTAGGGTATCCATATTAAACAGTGCACATGATATAGGAATCTCCTTAAAAGCCAGGATTTTTTTTCACAGATTGGGGAAATAGCCCTGCCATTAATTTTGGGGAAAATTACACAATATATTTGCAAAAGGGGAAAAGAAAAAACTTGATGTAAATTCAATTTTTGGGGAAAACTGCATGATTTTAAAGAATTTTTCTTTGGGGAAGCAGCCCTTTAACAGCCCCTGCTATAGAAAAGGAAAAAAAGCTCTGAAATCAGACCATTGTTTGCACTCCATTACTGTATGCTACAAATCTAAAGGTAATGAAGCACCAGTTAAGAATATCTGAAATGATTTTAATGAGGTTGGTGCAATAGTAGTTTGGAAACAAATTTGTTTTTTAAAGAAATCATTGAGAATGTTTTGCCACATATATAAGGTGATCTTTATGTTTTGCTCATTAGCCTTTTAATTTAATGTATATTTTACTTTCTTCAGAAGCATCCTATAATAAGACACATATCAGGTGCAAGTACTTATATACTAATATTGTTTCCCTGTTAAATCACTTATAGTGTCTATCTGTGGAAAACATGATAATTCACAATGCTTTCTTACTCTGCACAAAAATTTCAAAATATTTATTTCATCTAATGAAATGCAGGTCATCAGCTAACATGCAATTTATAACTGCTGCCTTCCTTTGAATATTAAATATATCTGAGTTGGGTTTTTTCCCCTCCCAATAAATAGCTAGCGCCACCATGCCCTCATGGAAATTTGGCATTATATGCAAATTTGGCATTAAAACGCATCAGTTACTACCAAATCACCAAAATTGAACAATTCCAAACCAACAAATGCAATTCTAACTTCTCTTTTTACATAAAATTTGAGTTTTGATTTAAAACTTTGAAAAACAAAATCATATACTCGATAACTTTTGTAGAGAATTCAAAATCCACCATGTGGTTTAGAAGAAATTGTAGATAATGACAAAAAACAGAATCAATGCCATAACCTACACCATTGACACTTTGTTTTGCATAGCCTATGCCATTAACCTATGTCAATGACACTTTGTATTGCATAACCTTTGCCATTGATACCATGTGTCGCATAACCTATGCCATTGGCACTATGTGTTGCATAACCTATCCCATTGGCACTATATGTTGCATAACCTATGCAATTGACACTATGTGTTGCATAACGTATGCCATTGACACTATGTGTTGCATAACCTATGCCATTGACACTTTAGTGTTGCATAACCTTTGTCATTGACAATGTATGTTGCATAACCTATGTCATTGACACTATGGGTTGCATAACCTATGCCATTGACACTATATGTTGCATAACATATTCCAATGATACTATATGTTGCATAAGTTATGCCATTGTCACTGTGTTGCATAACATATGCCATTGACACTATGTGTTGCATAATGTATGCCATTGGTACTATATGTTGCATAACCTATGCCATTGGCACTACATGTTGCATAACCTTTGTCATTGACACTGTATGTTGCATAACCTATGCCATTGACACTTTGTGTTGCATAACCTTTGTCATTGACACTGTATGTTGCATAACCTATGTCATTGACACTACATGTTGCATAACCTATTGTCATTGACACTATATGTTGCATAATGTATGACATTGACACTATGTGTTGCATATCCTATGCCATTGACAGTATGTGTTGCATAACCTATGCCATTGACAGTATGTGTTGCATAACCTATGCCATTGACACTATGTGTTGCATAATCTATGCCATTGACACTATGTGTTGCATAACCTATGCCATTGACACTATGTGTTGCATAATCTTTGCCATTGACACTATGTGTTGCATAACCTATGCCATTGATAGTATGT